GGGGGGAGGCAACTTTATCTACTATGTCTATATCTAACTCTATGTCTACATGTGCATGACTCGCTACATATCTATCAAGCACTTGTAGCACTTCGAAGTACAGGGTATTGCCTGGAAAACTAGAAATATAATGAAGAAGTAGAGCGCGTTACGCTCCCATGAATTTTTGAGCATGTCCAACAATTGTTGGAAGCAGCAACAATACAATATGCAACACCCACTACAAGTGTCGGTGTGTGTGTGTGTGTGTGTATGTGTGTGTGTGCAATAATCCCAATCACAATCACGTGATTTGCAAGTAATCATGTTGTACATTTGCAGCTCACACGTTGCATATTGATGAGCTAAGCATAGCCCAGGCCCAGCCCTAGCCTTACCTAACGCAGCCCGATACCCGTAGCATATCCGGCATCCGTAACCGTAACCGTAACCGTAAGCCGTATGGCCAAGAGTACGGAATCGATGCCGCAACCAGCAATAAACGTGCGTAATCAAGCCATTCGAGCCAGAGTCGAGCCACAACAAAGGACCCAAAGAATTGCGAAATGCATATGGATAGATGAATAGATGGATATATGAATGTGTCTGTCGTCCAGGGTCGAATGCCACATGGCTGCTGTGGCTGTAGCTGCGGCTGCTGCTGCTGCTGCTTGTGAGTTATGGCCAAGCAGCAGGTCCCATTGCCACGGCTTGTAATATTTGATTTTGATTGAAGTGCAGCCAGCCATGTGGCCAGAAAAATCGCACGAGACCTGAACTGAATTTATACGAGACACAAGCAGAGAAAAAAGAGGCGTCAAGTTTGATGCCTGTTGCATTGCCTCGGCAAATAACCAAGAGCGAACCAGCCAGCTAGCCAGCCAGCCAGACGTTGCTCCATAATGAGTGCAACAAAAGGCCAAGAGATATTATAAAAGGCAGTAAGAACGTTGCTATGGGCAGAGTGTGACGACTGCCTAATACGCGACCCAGGTTCAAAAACATTTCAATTCCATTCAAAAATCTCAGGTATTTCTTAAATGATTTATAGGTCTAGCTGTGGGAGAGTTGAAACTGTCAAACTTTGCAGTCAGGCAGGCCTTTGGCCAGTTAGACATTGCGCAAAGCCAATATACTCTCTTTACCCTCTGAGTGAAATGGAAAAAGAAATAGGCGAGATGCATTATAATGCTGATGACTCCAGAGAATCCATGCAAAGGCTACGTGAGCTGCAGACAGGATTTGGCTTTGCTTCGCTTGGCTTGGCCTAAGAACAATAAAAAACTTCACACAATCGACTAGAGATAAGCTAAAAGGTCAGCTCTGGCCGGCTTTCTACATTAACATAGCTACATTCTGTTAACTAATTGCAGTCCTGTTACTTAACATAACATGCACAGCTCTGCTTAGCCTTTTACAGCAGCGCAACTGTTTCGGTTCGAGCAGCTCTTTAACAGCGTCTCTTTAATGCCAATGTGAGCCAAGGCGAACATAAACTCCTTGCCAAAAAATTAAGCTTAAGGCGCTTCACTCAAAGGTCTTGAGTCGCATAAGCGAAAGTGCAATAGAGCTCGCTGCAAGCGCCACATTTTGCATACCCTGCCAATGGATGAGCAAGGTATATTGACTAGAGGCGAGTGTATGAGACAGCAGATGTGGGTATAGAGGATATATATGTAACTGCCAGCTGCCACGATCTAGCCACGAACGCCTTTGCTTCGAGCCGCTTAAATTCGATATATTGACTTGGTTATTGCAGCTTAACTAAAAGGCCTTAACAGCTCCAGAGGGCTAATTTGGTAAGTAGCTTCTCGCAATTAATATATTGAATATATTTCCGCATTTTTTTTTTTTTTGAATTTTCAATCTCCGTAGTGTAAGCTCATTCCATGTTGGTCTTTGGTTCGTTTACATATTTTTTTAGTTATATTCAAGCATAATGTAGACTCCTCAAGCATTCTACAATGGGAAATTATGCAAGTCAAGGAACTTTTTTCCATAAAATGTGAGCTGCAGTAGGAGAAAGTTGCCGTCTGGCTTAATATAATTCGAGTCAGGGTATCTGCTAGTCGGGCACGGCCCTTTAAAAAAGTCCGGCTTGTCTTATTTGCGCCAACTCGTTCCGCTTTGACAGCGACGCGTCGCAACACGTTGAGCTGGCTGCCAGCGAAGGCTCAGCAAGGAAGAACTCAACTCTGGCTTACGGTTGGAGCAGTTACCATTGGCGAGGGCCCTGGTTCTTCTTCTTCTTCGTCTCTCGCTCTCTCTCTCTCTGACTCTCTCTCGCTCTCTTTCACTGTCTGTTTTGGGTGCTTTTTTGTCTTCTTGTTGGTTGTAAGCTTTAAGGCGATTCTCCGCTTGTTTTATGGCGCTGCATAAATCAGAGGCCATGCCCCCACGCGCCTCCGAACACTTGCCAAGTAGGCGTGGCCTTCGGAGGCGCATTTATTGGCCAAATTTATTGGGCTCGAGCTGGAGATGATGACGGGATATTACGACTATTTCACATAGTTTGCTCAAGGGCTGCCCCACGCAGGAGGCCCGCTTGGAGGGCAGCCAAGCGCCCCCAAGCCTCTCCCCATTGTCGGCTCTTTTTTATTTTGTTGGGGGGCCTCTGTAATTGCCGTGCTCGCAGTGCATGAAATTTTCAACGCAACAAATGAAAATATTTTTGTTTCAATTTTGTTGACTACGTAACTCCCTCCACGTAACACCTCTTGGCATTTGCCCCAACTCCGACTGCTGCTCTCCGCCTTTCGGCTTGGCTTCCAGCGTTTTTATTTGGCATGTCTGGGACAGACGTTGCCTGGCGCAAAACATTTAGGCTGCTTGGCCCTTTGAAGGCTCGTGGTCATAAATTCCGTTCTCACCACATTTTCTCTCCTTCCGAGCTGGCCCCGCTTCACTTTTTGGCTGTGTATGTGTGTGTGTGTGTGTGTGTGTTTTTTTGGCCAACAGCAAAAAGCATTTTTGACTCTACCAAAAGGTGCAAAAAAGCTTTGGGCAACCAAATGGCAACGCTTTAAATATCATTTGCAAAACAACGAGTCCTTGAATACTCTAACTACAACTTTCAGTATATTAAGGATAACTAGAGACAAGGACTAACTGGACTCTATTGGATATGTGCCACAATTCTCCTGCTAGCTCTGAAAGAGACTTGAGCGCTTGAAACACTAAGCCGTAAGGATTAACTGTGTTCAAGCAATTATCGTTGGCATAGCCAAAGAGTTATTAATGAAGTCCCTTTGTTGAGCCTGGCTTTACTAGCATGAATATTCAATGCGAAATATTTCAGATTATCAACCAATCTTAAACTAATCAGTTTTGACGAAAGTATTAAATGAAGAGCTGGCTTAGTCTGCTACTGCAGCTGTAAGAACAAAGATAAACATCGCTGATATATCTGCTACAGAGCTAGAGCTACAAGCCCATGCGATCACTGACTCACTATAGACCTAAAGTACTCGCCAACTGGAAGCTGGACAAATGTTGCGTCATTTGATAGCAGAAGTCATCAAATATTTCAGCCGAGCTGCAATTCAAGTTGCACCTGTAAGCTGCTTTCCTATTAAATCCTTTATAACTAAGCTCACAAAGTGACCGTCCCAGCGACTAGGCCCAAAGTGTAAGGCGCCTGTTATTAGAGCACAGGGAGAGACAAAAAAAGCAAACGCAACACTCAACACTCAACACTCAGCACTGCAAAGGCATATAAAGCATATTTTTGGACATGCTTTCGCCTTGAGTTTTTGCGACGGCAGCCAGCCAATGGCTAAGCCAGCATGGGAGGCGTGGCGGGAAGTTGGCAAGAGAAAGCAGCCCCAAGAAAGAAATACGGAATCTAAAATGATAATAAAATATTCATATTAATCTGCTTGGCTCATAAAATATTCAGCTGCGTAATTGTTGGCATTACGTAAAGTAAGAACAAGACGTAGTCAGCTAGTGCCACGCCCACAGCTATGGAAGAACAAGAGCAAAAGAAAGAAGGAAGCTGTGGGGGCGTGTTACAGGAAATGCCAGGCCAAAAATCTTACAAGTTTGTAATTTACACCTGGCTGCGTTTTTTGTCTGCGTGTCTACCTGGCTACGGGCCTACCTGGCTGCCTGCCTGCCTGACAGTCTTAGTCTTAGCTCAGCTTTGCGCTTTAAACAAAAGACTTTGGCTTTAAGACCACACTATGTATGTGCGTGTGTGTGTAGGTGTGTGTGCTTGTGGCTTGTGGCCAAATCCCATTAAGCTATTCATAATTGCTCATAATTTTGGTTGATTTCATTAGCATATGTAACAATTTAATTTGATGTGTGAAAAGCAAATGAAACTCTTTACACACACAGATAGATACACACGCACACACACACACACGCACACTCGTATGCATAATCAATGATGGCTCATTAACCTGACTGACAATTGTTGTTGTTGCTGTTAATTACGCATCGCATATGCGGTCATAAAATATACAATATCATTCTCATCGCCCGCTTTTATATCAAAATGACGTCGATTAACACCTGCCGTGTGCGTTTGTGGTGTATGTGTGGCATTAAATCTGATTAATTTGATTTATCGTAAAATATTTAAAGCGACATCGCGGCTGACCTCAGCGGAAGTCGGCTTGGCCCATGCTGCGTATGCGTAATGTGCCTTGCAACTTAGCTTCGCTTGACTTGCGCCCAAAACTGAAAGCAAATAAAGACTGCTCAGCTGGCAGATACCCTGCACCTAGTATGTAAAGACTGTTTCAGTAACTACAGCTTTCGTTTGGCTAAAGAAATGAGAGGAAATACCAGCAGAGCCGACTCGATTCGTAGCCCTGCCTAATGGAACCATAAATATTATCGAACATTATCGATAACAAAGCAATTATCAGCAGCAGCTTCCGTTTTGGAAGCATTATATAAAATGTGAATAATATTTAAATTATTTATATATATATTGTTATAGCGGAACCTGTAAATTCCGATCGATAAAATTAATCGATATTAAATACAATACATTTTATTTGACAATTCTTCAAAAAGAGAAATATTTCTAGCTGTCATAAAGCTGAGACGCGCAACCCTCACTTGGTTCAACTGGATTCCGTGCGCGAAATTGTCTACAACTGAGGAATATACAGAAGGTAAAGATATAGATACAGTTATAGACAGAACATAGCTATGGCTTACCCCCTTAGTGGCGATGAACGAGATGTTTGCGTCGTTAACTATCTTCAGGAATGTGCGCTAGGCTTATGGAAATGAATGAAGCAAATTCTTCCTGATGTGCGACAACAAGGAAACCTTGCAGACAGAAATATATATATATATATATTTATATATATATATATATAACAATTACTTACCATCGAATTAGAATCTGTCTTAAGCATTTAAGCATTGAATACTGTGTGTTTCGATTTGGGTATGTTAAACGTTGCCAGTTTCGTGTGTAACTGAAAGAGAAATTGGAGAGAATAGCTATATATATATAGAGAGATATATATGTATAGCAACACTTACGCATATGTCTCTCCTTCACAGTTGGCAGTAAGAATTGAAATTGAAATTTGAGTTGGAGTTGGAGTTTGTATTAGTGCCATAAAACGCTTGCTTGTGCTAGATTTTTTCTTTTTATTTTTGTATTGGATTTTTTCTCCCTAAATGCGACTAATCCAACAAACTATGTGCATAATTTCAAATTTGTTAGTTTTTTATATTATATATTATATATTTAGTATTCAAGATCATAATCTGGAGGGAGATAGGAAAGTGGAATGGAGCAAAGTCTGGCCATCTGTATCTGGCTGTGACCCTATTTCACCTTGCCGGTTTTTAAGAATGCGACTTACCCATAAGGTACTCTTGGATCTGTGGTACCATCACATCAAGGAACTATTGTCAGCAAAGACGCAATACACCAAGCGTATCGCCAGTTATCGGGGTTGGGTCTAAGTCGTCTTCATAATCAGATGTAGATAATACTTGAGGGAACATAAAATTGAAGTTTGGAAATCCATTCAGCCATTTAACATACTTACAATCTTATTGTGATTGTCATTGTATTGTTTTAATTGAAATTGTTATTGTTATTATTGTAATTGTTATTCTTACTATTATTTTTATTATTATGTTTATTGCTTCTGTACTGTTGTTGTTCTTGTTCTTGTTATTGTTATTAATGCAACTATTATTGTAATTGTTTATTATTATTTATGCTCTTGTACGTGTATTGTTTATGTATTTGTTACTGTTTGTGTTTTTGTACTTGTTTTTGTTCTTGTTCATCTATCGCTTCTTGTTGCAAACCTCTTGACATCCCTCTGTTATCATTCGACTATAAATTTTGAATTGCTCCCTTAACACTAATCTGAAGACGCCAAACTGTCTGCCATATTTCAACGAATGCACGATAACGCAAATGTAAACTGAATTTATATAACAAATATATATATTTTTTTTCCTTTTAAGTTTTATTTGCTCACGAAGAATTTGAAAAAAATGAAGCTCTTACTACTAATAGAGCTCAAACTGTAATGAGAATATCTCGAAGGCACGACGGGTGCCTTAACGCTTGCTTTCCAAAGCAAACTTTGATTAGACAAAACTAATACAAATTATTCATTGAGAGTACTATATATATCAGTATGAAAAGGGTATATTAGTTGAGCGACTCTTAAGGTTACGAAACTTTAGCTTGATTTGTTGAAGCGCGTGGCATTAGAGCAACTGCAGCACAGCAACTATATCGATAACTTTATCGATTTTGCCATTTGCCATTTGATCAAAAATTGCTTAATGCTTAGAAGAAGCCAAATATACTGCGGCGAGTCAATTGAATCTTCAGCTTAAAGCAAAGCTCCTGTGACCTGCCCTGTCCTACACAATGTCATGAATCTTGCCTCAACATTAAGCCACAAATACTATAAAATCTGAAAAATGTTCGTGCCTTCTTGTATATATATACCATCCGCTCTAACTGCGTAGAATTCCTCTATAGATCTACAACCAAAAACGATATAGAAAAGCGAGCAAAAAATATATCTTGCTTAGTTTCACTAGCTGAAATCTATATGTGAACATGTGGCATCAGCATTGAGCTGCTCCATAGATAAGCCACAGATAACCTAGACGAAATACCTTACTCTAAGAAATAGGCTAGGCAAATGAGCGAAAGAATTCGCCTTAAAATATATATCAAAACAAATTACAGGGCACTTCAAATTTGAAACGTACAAACTCAAGGCAACTATTTGGAATAGCATTTAAAAGGAAAAGGAACATTTCAAGTTCATTTATTTGCTTCGATTTCCCTCAGATAGAGCTGCATTGACTTGGCTTCAAATTCGAAAATCAGAGCTCCTCGCAGTGTAAGGATTATAAATTTTAGTTTTATTCACTGTTTAAGAATAGTATTATTTATTTTCATAAACTCAAATTTAAATTAGTTTGTTTTTTTGATGAGCATCAAGCAAATATGGCGAACAGTAACAAATATGGGCTGTTCGGTTTGCCGACATTTGGGACAGAGTTTTTACACAGAATTTGCTTTAGACTCGATTAGCTTTTGTTGTTGCTTTTGTTGCTTTGGTTGCTTTGGTTGCTTTTGTTGCTTTCGTGGCAGCTTCTGCTTCTACTGCTGCTGCTTTTGCTGGTGATGGGGCTGGGGGTGTTGGCGGTGGGGTTACGCTTTGGGTTTCATTGAGGGCCGCCTCTAGCTTATCTTGTAGCTCACGATCGATACGCTCCTTGGCGCGAAACACCTTCGATTGGATGTAAAAGGAGCCACCAGCTGCCTTTTCGTTGACCCGAAACAGATGCTCATAATTGCCACGGATCTCATCAAGATTGTTAAGATCCTTCACATTGAGTATCTGTTGGGCCTCATGCAGGGTCATCCCTTTCACAGCCAAATCGTGGCATTTCGCCTTACTCAACCTATTCGTCCGATGCTGTTGGGCCGCCACCCGAGATGCTTCGATTTCCTGCCGCACCGCCTTGACGAATGCCCGACCCACCGATTGGGCGCCATACACAATGATCTTTGCAAAATGTTTGGCCATTCTCTCCCACTCCGTCGCGCCCCCCTTCTGCCTGGGAGTCCGTGCCTCGAATAAGTCCAGAGAATTTTACAATTGTTCTCAAACATTAACGTACAAATGTACAGAATTTTCTAAAGGAAAGTAAGCTAAAAATGTGTGTGCCTCCCTACCTGGGTTAGTTTTGGTTTTTGTTTAATTTATTTTTTCTTTTTTTATTTTTCTTCCTTATTTTTTTTTTTATTTTAGGTGTTATATGACATGAATGGAAAAGATTTACTATTTTATTGGGCTATCAGATATATATATAAATGATAGGTACCGAAAACACTCCAGAGATAGAGATAGAGATAGAGATAGAGATAGAGATAGAGATAGAGATAGAGATAGAGATAGAGATAGAGATAGAGATAGAGATAGAGATAGAGATAGAGATAGAGATAGAGATAGAGATAGAGATAGAGATAGAGATAGAGATAGAGATAGAGATAGAGATAGAGATAGAGATAGAGATAGAGATAGAGATAGAGATAGAGATAGAGATAGAGATAGAGATAGAGATAGAGATAGAGATAGAGATAGAGATAGAGATAGAGATAGAGATAGAGATAGAGATAGAGATAGAGATAGAGATAGAGATAGAGATAGAGATAGAGATAGAGATAGAGATAGAGATAGAGATAGAGATAGAGATAGAGATAGAGATAGAGATAGAGATAGAGATAGAGATAGAGATAGAGATAGAGATAGAGATAGAGATAGAGATAGAGATTCACTAAGGTCTTGTTCCATCTAGAACTGAGCAGTGCCTGCGACTTCAAGTAATCAAGTAACTTTCCGCACTTCTGGATGTGTGAATGTGTGTGTAAAGGTCGTAAACAAATTATGCGCAAATTGACTTAGTTCCGGCGGACGGGTGGGCGCTGGTCACGCAGCCAAACGAGACAAGGGAGTGTAAGTGAGATGGACAAAGGTATGATATGATGTGATGTGCGACAGGTATTAACATAATTACAATAATGACTTGTTGCCGGTCAATGTCAGAATACAGCCAACAAAATGCCAAATGCCAAATGTCAAATGCCAAATTCCGAATGGCAAATGGCAAATGGCAATTGTTAGTCTGGCCGCTGAGACTCCGGAATTTGTGGCCATAATTTTGAGAGTCAAGTTGTCAGCAGTTGTTGTTGTTGTTGTTGATGTTGTTTTGCATTTGCATAAGCTCGATTTGCACTGGCGTCTTTTTAAAGCACAACCAACCGTATCGAATCGAATTGAATCTAACCTCACATTACGTAATGCCACCAAGTCTCAATTGCACGCCCTCGCCTTGCCTTCCCCTTCAGCTTTTCGCCGCACGGCCACATTGGCAATTTACGGAGTGTGCCCAGCCTAGCCACAAATGCACAACAATTGCAATTGCTGTGCCGCACAGTGGTGCACAACCAGCGACAATAACAAATAAGAACGTTTTTCCGACTTGCCAAGAACTCTTAACGGTCATGCATATAGAGTATATACGTAACATTCCAGCTGTTAGTCTAGCTTATCAGCCTTAGACTTCATAGTAAATTAAGCTTGTCGAAGTCAAGTTTTGTCTGCAAGCAAACTATATCGAGACAAGATATCGTCTGAATATCGTACGGAATTGACTTTCAATATGTATCGATAAATGTAGTTTTGCTTGCTTTCGACCCACTGTGCATCGCCTTTTCCATTTGCCGTTGAAATTCACAAACTGTAATTGATCACATTTGCGTTTGTCGTTTGATTTCATTGTCTTGTGCGTGCAGCGGCGTGGGCTTGGGCTCCAATGGAGTTCGGTTGGTGGTTGGATGCTGTGGGACAGTATCCACGGCTTGGCCGCCTTTCGCCTCCAATTTCCAAAAAATGCCACATCTGATGGTTTGGCTGTTATTGTTGCTGCTGCTGCTGCTGCAGTTGCTGCTGCTGCTGCTGCTGCTGCTGCTTTCGCGTTAGCTCATTCATTATATAAACACCTCAACCTGACCATGGGCCACGGTGCGCCTACAGCCACTCTCTCGCTCTCTCTTGCTACCTCTGTCTCTCTCTGTCTCTCGCTTTCATTTTGACTGCATTTTGCGATTAGTTGCCATTTAAGCTGCTGTTACCCTTTTGTTCCCCTTGTTCTCGTACGCGTACACAGACACATTCATAGCTAACCCAACTCTCTCCCTTTCCTTCTAACTCTCTCTCTCTCTCACTCTCTATCTCTATCTCTATCTCGGCCTGCTCTGATCTGTCGCTGTTGGTTGCCAAAGCATTTTGATTTCCAGCTCTGCGTCCGGCAGTTTTAATCCCTGAACGGCAGCAGCCTACCAAAAAAAGGAAAAATTAAGCAAATAACAATTGATTAACCAAACTGCTCGAATAGCAGATACCCTAGACAGCTAGGTCTGGCAGGCAAAGCCCGTTTAGCAAAGGTAAGGTAACTGTCTTAGCTATAACTGTAACTGCTTAAAACGTTTTTTTAAGTCTAAGACAAGGTTACATATTATTTGACAGCATGTTAAATTTGACTGTTAAATTTGACAGGCACATTTTGTTGGATTATTAGTGGAAATAACTACAGTTTAAGTGCTTGTCAGTGTAAACTACATTGATTAGTATAAAATAAAATACATTGACAATATGTTAAAGTAGCTGTCAACTTTGACACTTAAGTCAATGACATCCTTTGGGTTAGGGCATACGAATTGACAAATAGCGACAAGGGAACGCAGCTGGAAGAGTTAGCTACGAATGTGAACGCAGTTCACTATTTACCACACATGAACGTGGGATCTGAACGAGAACGTCAACGTGAACGTGATTCTGAATGTGAACGTGAACGTGGGTGATGCATGGCGTTGAAAATGTTTAGGCCTAGTGTCTGGTGTCGCATTCATTGCCATTCATTCGGCTGCTGCCGTTTCGTGGTTGCCTATTGCCAGTCGCTGTTGCCAGCCATGCAACGAGGTATTATGTTTTGGTGATAGTGTTTGTAACAGGTCAGTTTGTGTAGTCAACAATAAAAGTCTTTCCAAAGCATCGATCTACAAGCTCTCCTTGTGATTTTCAAAGCACATCTTAAGGCCTTTCTTATTTGTTCCTTAGCTGCTGATATATTTATGGAAACAGGGTATCTGCTAGTCGTGCTTACTGGTTGGTTGTTGTTGCTTGTGGCTAACATGCAAGCTTAGGATTTGGAAAACAATTTCACTGTTAGTGGAATGTCAACGTCAGGCCCGTGCCTGGCTCCAACTTTTAGTGAGCTCCCAACTCACAGCCATTGAACCTCCGCCTCTCTCTCACTCTCTCTGCCACGCTCTGCCTATTGCTTTCCCTCTCTCTCTCTCTCTCTCTAATCTATTCGTGCCGAAACGTGAAATTTAAGCGCGCGCGCGGCATTCACATCACTAATTAGTGATGTGCAATAATCGTGCGGCAACTGCATGATGCCCATCGAGAGGGGCGGGCCAGGATAGAAGTTTTGGTTCATTGTTCTCTCTGCGCCTATTCTCCACTCCCTCCCCCACCCTGACCACTTCCCCCTTCCCCTTTACGTTTGCTGTTTCAGAGATTTGCGTAGATTGGCGAAACGCTGTTCGCTTCAAAAATTGCAACATTGTTAATCAACTGTGCGTGTCGCATAAGTTGCTTTTACGGGCTCGATATTCCTTTGGAATGGGAATGGAGCTTCGGGAGGTTTCTCCATTTTTGTGCTGTTTTTGGCAATTCGTTTTTGGGCTAGCCTCTCTCAACTTAATGGGGCTTAAGCGTATTCGATTGCCCATTAGACCAGGCAGTTGCCATGGACGGGGGCGGAACACCTTTACGAATGTTTCGAAAGTGAATTCATTTATGGGGCTACGTAATTGAGGCTCGCTTGGAGCTTATGATATTTTGTAAGCTGTTTTAATTGGATTGTTTGATAGGCTGATTGACTGATGAGTTGTTGAATTGATTGATGCTGACTGCTAAACAGTTAAGCTGAGTTATTTATTGATGGGGTAGTTGATGCATTGATTGATTGAATGACTGACTGATTGATTAGAAAACTGATTGAGTGGTTAACTCTGTTTAACAAAGTGATTGATTGCGTGATTGACTGACGACTAGCTAACCGAGTAGTTGACTGAATGATTGATTGATTGACGGACTGATAGACTAATTGGAACAAAGTAACTTATTGATTGATTAGCAAGATGATTGACCGATGGACTGACGACAAACTAACGGAGTAGATTGATTGATTGTCTGAAATTGATTGATTGATAGACTGATTGATCTACAGATTGATTGAACGTTAACAGACTGATTGCTTGATAAGCATTGACAACTGTCTGCTTGATAGATTGACAAAGTGATTGAAACTCCCATTAGATTACATATTGTTGGCCGATTAAATAATTGATCGATTGATTGACTGACTGACTGACTGACTGCCTAAATCATACGCACTTCATGCTTACAGAGCGTTTTTCAACACTGCACAGACTTAACACATACCCTACACATATGCACATATTTGCGCTCTTTCTGAGGGGCTTTGTCGTTGGTTTTTACGTTTCATTTGCTGCAGCGTGTAAATAAAAAGAGCTGCAATTGCAACTCATACACACTGGTTGTGCGTGTGTGTGTACAATTGGCAATATGGTCGCATTTAATTGACCAGAAAAACAGCATAGAGTAGAGAGACGCCTAATTGAAATTTCATGTTCGGAAATAAGTGGCAAAATGGTGAGAAGAGACAACGGGGGCAAACGCGAAGCGCTAAAACAGTGTGAAGTGAGAAGTGAGAAGTGAGAATCGAGAAGAGGGGCGCATGTTTGGGCATTCCTTTAGTTGTTTAGGCAACAAACTATAGACAGGCAACATGTGAAATAAATATAAATCGAATACATTGAAACCCAAATCAAATTTCATCTAATTGTATTTTAATGTCACTAATCGAGCTGCAAGTATTAAGTAAAAACTGCAAATGCGACAACGAAGTTTTGTGTGAAACCAATTGAAATTGCAGAATATCCAAGAAAATCTTGAGAGTTTTTATCATCAATCAATTGCATTTTCCTTGCGCTTGTCAAGTAGGCCTGGCGTGAAATGTCAAGTTTTGTTTTCTTAGCTGAGAAATGTGCTTTGGGAACTCATTCGGGCTGTCAACGTGTTTCGGCGAGGAACTCAGTTAATTTCATTTCAAGCAAATAAATAAAATAAGTTTTAATTCAAATCGGATTTGTAGAAGAAAAGATTCAAGAATTGCCAATGCAGAGATATTGTGAGCACGACGAATGCGACTCGATTGACGATCGAGATGATGTAGCTCATGAAGGGTCTGTTGATCCGCGTCTGGACGCAGGCGGCGCAGCTCTGGATAATCGCCAGCTGGCAGTCCTGGGAGCCGGCGCTGATGAGCCCGAAACCGAAGAGCAGCAGGAAACGCTGCCATTGGATGTTAATTGGATTGACCAAGAACTGGCCAGGCCGCATGAATTCTGGCGCTTTCTGCTGCGCATGAGCTTCGGTACTCTGATGCATCCGTATGAGTATGCCAAGATATTGATGCAGCTGGGCTACGAGCCGATGCCCGCTGCCATCTCAACCAATTGGCTAGGTCGCACCACCTTATACTTGCCCAGCGTACATCAGTACATACGCTACATCAAGCACATCGATGGATTCTCTGGCCTGTACCGTGGTCTCTTTTCCCGCATTATGAGCACCACCTGCTACGCCCTGTTCTCGGAGAGTTTGGTCAACATGTTCGGCGTGAGACAGCTGCAGAAGCGAATGCATCCATTTAGCGAATACCTTTGGAATCTGGTGCGTGGTGGGATTATCGTTGTCACTGGATTGGCCATCTCGCATCCGTTCTATGTCATCTCGGTGCGACAGATGGCTCAGTTTGTGGGCCGTGAAGTTGTCTATTCGAGTATGAAAGGCAGTATCGAGGAGATACTGGCGCAGGCTGGGCCGCTTGGGTTTTATGCAGGCTTTGTGCCACGCCTACTCAGCGATCTGGGCATCCTGTTCTGTACGAGCACCCTAAGCGCCATTTACAATCAGTTCTCCGTCTTCAGGTCGGATCGGTGGGAGTACAATTCGGTTCTGATTCAATTCGGGGCCGTCATGCTCTTCTATCCCCTGCAAGTCGTGGGCGCCTGCATGGCCTGCTCTGGCTCAGCTGTGGCTGCGGGTGCACCGCCCTACATGCCCATCTACGATAAGTGGATCGACTGCCTGATGGATTTGATAGCCCGCGGAGATCATTATCGCGGCGCCTTCATGTTTCGCCGCACCCTGCCCAAAGTGCACGCTCAGCGTGCTCACGACCCATTCACGCGCCCTATGTAAGCGAAAAAAATTGAATAAAATACATTTGTTAACATGACAAGGCATTAAAAACTTGTTTGTCAATGTCTACCTGAAACATTTCGCTATTTACTTATTTTTTAGCTAAGGTCTTAGCTATGTCTGCTTTATAGATATGGGAGTATCTGTGGGAGTCCGCGTATCTGTATCTGTATTAGCTGCATCTAAACGATATTTGTTTTTATCATGTGCTCAAAAATTGACAAAATTTCACTAAAATTATTCAAGAGCTATTTTATTTCAAGCTTAGAATTTTATGAAAGCCTTTGCTAGGCAGTGAAGTAGATGCCATTGTTTTCTGCAGCTCGGGCGGCTTGTTCTAATTTGAATTATATAGCCAGACGCACGAAGGACTGGAATCAAGGCACGCACACTCACACTCCCGCACACGCACACACACACATACACTGTATTAATTCATAAGCTAAAAGCTAAAATGGGAATGGATCGGAACGTGTGGGAAATGGGCTGGTTGTTGTAAGCGTTACGTTCGGTCTCGTTTTTCTTGGCTGCTGCATAAAATGTCAGCAGAGATTAAGTGATAGAAATCTGTTCATGTACAAGATTTTATAAACCAACCAACGAGTCACACACACACACACACATAGCCACACACACGCACACACAGCCACAATGATGCGTAACTGGCAGCTGCACGTAATGAAAATATCAAAAATCTTCAACGAATTTTGTCGACGCCTTTCGCAGGGCAAGGAACGGGAAGGAGCGCTGTTTAGCTCTTGTGTGTGTGTGTGTGTGTGTGTTTGTGTGTATATGTGTGCGCAGTTGTTGGTTAGGTTCATTTAGGCCAGAGAAATCAAAAGTCAAAAGTTTGTACACAGCCCACAGAGACTTGAGTTCTTGAAATAAACGACTAGTTATTACATGTGGTCATGTGTGTGTGCGTGTGTGTGTGTGTGTGCGTGTATGTGTGTGTTACGTGTGCCATGCACATGCACATGATGACAATGACAATGACAGTGCCTAGCCACACTGGCTAACCAAACAAGTCAAATTGTTCGAAAGGAAAAAAATGTGAACAACTAAGGAATACCCTTTAACTGCTCAGAAGTCTATCTGCATAGCAAATGAGATGAGTTTTAAATTCATTTAAAGCAAGAATCAATCAAAAAGTCTATCGTACTATCGATATTTATCGATTTAAGAGAGTGTTGAGTATGAGTCACAGAAAGCAGGCAAGCTTCATTAGTCTATAAAGTCAAAGATGCCTCTTGCTGCAGCATACCCCCCTCTCGCACAGCGCTGACAATGAGTATGGAATAGAGAGAAGGCGAAGCGTACAGACTTAATAACCAAAAAATGCAATCTGCAACTCTGTGGCCCAGACGCCAACGCAAAGCCGCCGGACCAGCAGTCCCAGCCAGGACGTTGCGGACAGCTCTGTGACGCACACATACGTACGCATGCACGCATGCAGCTTGCCGCATGCAACGATTCTGCCCATGTGCTTTTACCCTTTCCCCAACATTTCGTTCGGCTTTCTTGACTTGTCTTGTTGCTATTACAGCCTGGAAAATGCAATTAGGCTAACGATGCAGCACAATTTTGTCTTTAACTACAACGAGTGTGTGAGCGAGAGGGCCCTAATGTAGAGAAGGAGCAGGCGAAGCAGGTGCCGGAAGGGTCTCAGTCCTGTTCGCTGGTCAGCTAAAGGTTTGCAGCGAGGGGCGTTCCAACTGTTAAGCACGAATGCCACTGTCCTGCATGCTTTCTGGATAAAGAACAATTGCACTTTACCTTGCTTCTTTTATTACTCTACTTTAACGTTTGGCTTATTCATTCTCAGTTGGCTAAGAGATCTTTGAGTCTGTGCGTCCACAATGGTTTTTTAATGAGATTATCAGATGTCCTTCAGCTCCTTAGGCCTTAGCTCATTAGAAAGCTCTAGCTGGCGCTTTCCTTCATTTAATTCTGTTTGTCTTCCATGAGTAACTGATTTTATGTTCACACTAATTGATTGATTGATTGACTGACTGAAGTGCAGCGCACAGCTCAAGCCATTGGCTCTAGTTAGCTAAAAAGCTATTTATATCTCATATTAGGCTTACATTTTCACTTGCAATTGTGAAAAATAGGTGCAAACTATGATTTCTGAAAATTTGAATTAAATTCCAAATAATTGTGAATTTCTCAAACTTGCCTCGTTCAACATAGTTAAGCTCCAAGTACTTAACATAATGCTGCAGACTTAAATGTTACTGTTCTATAGGCATATCATGTGCTTAGCATTATCTGAGTGCGTGTGTGCGTGTGTGTGTGTGTGTGTGCGTGTCGGAAATGTCGAACAAATGATGCACTTGCTGTCTATTGAATGAACATGAAACTGTCTCATGGCTATTGGAGTCGAGTTTGTGTGCCCAACTTAATTATTATGCCTCACTTTTGTGCTGTGTCCGATATTCTGATATTAATATTGATCAAAATATGAATTATTATAGCAATTCAATTAAATTAAATACCGAATAGCCTCGCAGATGAATAAACAGTTTGTCTCTGACCAAGAACAGGCGGCTCATATATCACAATTAACAGACGCCTCTCCTGCTTGCTCGCTCTCTCTCTCCTCTATACTCTCTCTTTCTCGCTCTATTAATATTAATTGTAGCAACAATTTTCACTCAATTTCAGTGTGATTTAAGGTTTTTATGCGCTGAGACCAATAAAAATGGCAACTTGAAGTATATTAGTTTTGCAGCAGGCAGAAGGAACTGTGACCAAGCTTACAGAAAATATATATACATATAAGCTTAATCAGTCTTTAGATCTGGCAACTGGCGAGCACTCGTAGAGACCGGCATCTCCTAGTCGAGCACTGCCGACTGGCGAACTGCTACGTGTTCAGCAGGCCTTGAAATCGAACAAAGTCTGAACAGCTCAGGTTAGTTCAACCCGTTAGCAAATAGTATCATTCCAGTTCGGACTCTACTAGAGTCAGCAACTTTTCAAAATTTCGGTTAGAAAATTTCAACAATATTTTATTTTCTACCTTTTTTATTTGAAGCTTTATTTTTTATAGGCAATTGAAACAGACCTAAAATTGCGTGTAAATAGTTTCGAAATGTGTTTTAAACTTTAAGTTGAACGACAATTGATGTGTTCAAGATGTGAATGGGTGTGTAAACACAATGGTGAGTTCCTTCCAGAGAGCAGATACATTTATATAGAATGTATATGTACGTATATATATAGAATATACAGGAGTCATAGATGCTCTTTATATATGGCTTGATCAATTTTAAGTAACTTAACAAACGTCCAGGACTGGTGTTTTAAGTCCTTTATCATAGCCAGGTTAAACGTTTTTTGTTACCGGAAGGTGAGTTTTGTACTCGAATTTTAAGTTTCGTTTAAGTTTTGCTCGCAACGAGAATCCAAAGCTCGCAGATCTATTTCTGGAAAGTAACCCCGAGGAAGGTAAGCACTGCGTACACCTAATCTAGGAACTCTAGCAGCTTTTCTCAACAGATATCATAATCACTTTAAAATTTGCGGCATACTGAAAAATCGATTGGACCAAAATGTTTCGTAATATAATGCCATTATATCCACATTACTAATACTAATACCTATTACAGTAAGTTTTTCTGAGATGTATTGATCTTCACTTCAAATAATTCTATAGAGCTCGAGGCGCTTTAAAGGAAATAATACATTTTTTGATAATTTGGCTTATTCCCCGTTTAAAAAAATTTCATGTCCAAAATTCGAAATTTTTGTCAATTACGATGTTTGTTTAGTTCATTTAAAGTCTAAAAATAAATGCTAAAAAATAATTCGAGATTTGTTGGTTATTCAGTATCGGACAAATTCGTGAGGCTGATCATCTCAAGGCCAAACATCCCTATACCACACCATCCTGTATATACTGAAATAAATAAAAATAAAAAGAAATAAAAAATTCGTATATTCCTAGTCGCTATTAGGTTTTTGAAACGCGAACATGAAGGCAAATCCTACAAAAGGAAATTTATAAATAATAATTGCGTTTTAATTGTTTTTATCCCCTCGTAGGCCTCTTATTACACAGCAGCAACAATTGACATTCCAATTGTTGTATTGCCTCTGCACATAATACTGCATATTTAAAATACCCTGGGGTGATGCGAGACGTGGTTATGACTGCTGAGCTAAAAAAATTATTATAATTAAAACATCAAATGTTAAATAAGCAAATATTTTGCAGCTCACAAATTTAACTTAATCTTCACCTACTAATTTATTTTACAGGGTAGTTGATAGTAGAGCTTTTTCTTTCACAATTTATGCCTGTGTGTGTGTTGCCATTGATCTTTGTAATGAGCCACATACACGCGCGCACTCACACACACAAACACATTCGTGCACATATACATTGTTTGTGTATTTAAAATGCAATTTGCATAGCCCACGTCATGCGGGGCTTTATACAATTTTTAAAATGATTTATTTAAGCGCATTGTTGCCGTTGAGCAATAAAATAGCAAAAATTACCAAATTGCCAAATTGGCCGCAATTAAGACCCAATGAAAATGTGGCAAAGGCAGCTTTAAAGTTCAAAAAGGGTTTCTGATAAAAAAAAGGCAATGTACACACGTGAAAATTAACACATTCGTTGTAATTTCAGTATTTAGACGTAAGAATTTTGGATCGGACGCCATTTTGAGCACACATAAATGGCATATACCTCTTTGGTATTTTTTAGTTCCTAATCACTGTTTTGATCGACAGCCATCTTGGATACAGAAAAATTTCAGTATTCAAACTGTGGTGTTTTCTTTGAAGTATTTTGTGGTTAAGCACATGCCAATCAGAGCTTTGATCAGACGCCATTTTGAGTGCCGCCTGGCAAAGACAGAATGTGCAAGGCAAATGCATTCACACACACCCACACATGCACATGCACATGCAGTGCTGAAGCTACAAATGATAAGCATGCGTCGTTTTCTCCACTTTTTTATGGTATTGGAAAAACTATTCAAGTCTAATGGCACGAAAGAGAATAATGACGCACAATACACTTCGACAGTTTAAACGGATTCACATGATTACAAGACGCACACACACACACACGCACGCGCACATAGTAAGTAATGTCTGTCTGTCGCCGTTTTCAGAAACTTGTTAACCATTTGAAGGCGACAAATGTCGTGCGCATTAGAGCCCAAGTTATAAGGATGCGGCACTTGGCAGTCGCTTCGAGTTGCTTTGCGCTTCTCTTCGCACATACTTTCGTACACTTCGCGCTGCTTTTTAGCATGCAAATTTGAAAGCGCGATTGCCTTGTTGGATTTTAAATGAATTGTTCGATTTAAGTCTCACAAATTAGTTTCGTGGCATTAAAAAAGTAAAAATTAAACGCTGCACCCTTTTTAAAGCACACTTTTTAGGTTCGGTGATCAGATGATCGCTTGACATAGCTTCCATCTTGTTCATTAAAAAGTGCTAAAAGTTAGCCAGTTGGGTGTGGACTGGAAATTTAAAAAAATTTATGTGCATAGCATGTTAGCACGCAAAAAGAACTTGAGCTCCATAAAGAAACAGCAGGCGCAGTAGGAAGAGCAGAAACTGCAGGAATGTATGCACATATAAATGCGCGTATGTGACAATCATTCGTTGGTGGTTTGTGGGTTTGAGGGTGCCAGTATGTTGTCACATTGATTATGGTGTCTGTTTGTTTGCGCCGCAGGCGGCAGTAACTGAGTGGCGCATGTTGTAGGGCTTTGACTATGATTTTCTAATTCAATTATTATTCAAATCATATAATTTCATCTTTACAGCACGCGCACGACGGCGTGCAAAGGGAAGAAAAAATAAATTACAGAAAAATATATATGGCAACACTGGCAGCATGTAAATAATCATATTACGCACATGCGGCTGCTGCTTGATGAGTGCGCAACAGTGCTGACATTTTCGCTTTTTAATAGCCGTAGCTGGCGTTTATGGAGACATATCCGAAGGGAAAGTTAGATTTCAGAAAAATTGAAATAGTTTTATTTGAATATAGATTTTTATCAACGCTACACATATCGCTTTAAATAATATTGATGCCACTTCACCACTGCAGGGCGACTTCTTGCTTTTTATTGTAGATCTAGCTTTTTAATTTCTGACAGCTCTGTTATGTTCAAGCACAACAATAAGACAGACGCACAGGCGAATTGAGAAGCCGCAGTGCTGTCTGTCATCCAATCCAATTTGAGGCGCCGCCACCGACGACTGCCTGCTGTCATCTGGCAACGCCGGCGACTATGTTGCCATGTCACGCGCGAGCCGCCTACAATGAAATTTATTTGCTTTGCTTCGTCTTTCATTTTGCGCCTTTTGTCTTGCTGGTAGCCCCCTTGGCTTCAGCTTATCCTTCATATGTCTCGCTGTGCCGCCACTGCATTTATATGTATGTTTGTATGTCTGCTAGTATATTATTGTGCATATTAATATTGTTAAAAGCGCGTGCCGTACGCGCGCGCCTCTCTACAAAATTAGCCAGCCATTCATTGAAGCGCACGCTGTGCGGTTACGTCTGGGCTGCCCACAACGAAGGGATAGCGCGAAAGGGGCGAGAGGGGTCAAGCGAGTCTCTGAACGGTTGAATAAATGAACGGGCGTATCAATTTACACACCGGAAGGCACACACACGCAGGTGTCTCTGTCTGTGTGTGTGGGTGTATATTTATAATTTTTGTATGTGTGTACTTATTAATGCGTATTCATTGTCACATCCGGCGCAAGGAAATTATATTCGCCAAACGCAACCGGACAGCCGCTCCCTTCCCTTCCCCTCAGCCTCCTTTTATCCACTTTTTGTTCAACTGCTTTTGCCTTGGGGCCGCGGCCAGACGTTTCTTTTGTAGGTTTAATTGAAATAATTGCAAAAATGCAAATGGAACAGACAATAGTTGACACAGGATATTAAGCATGGCAATAATGATGACGATGATGATGTTGAATTCTTAAGCTAGCCAGATGCCATTTTGCTTTTTTCCCGTTGCTTTTGTAATGAACTAATTAATTTGAATGCCCAGCTCAGGAGATCATGCCAACTGGCTCAATGAACCAGCAACTCTTTAGTGTTGAGCAGCTGCACTTAGCCATTACGAGTAGTTCGATACATGTGAATCCGATAAAAGAACTAACTAATACCAAATGAGCTAGCACGGCTTCAGCCAATTGGGTCGCCAGCTATTCGAGCTCTTTCAGATAAGTGCTGTAAAAGGAAACTTAAACGGGAAACTATTGGCTGCAATTCTTGCCGCAACAGCTGTAGTGTTTTCATCATGGGTCGAGAGAAAGCCACCTGATGACATTTATTGATAATTTATTTTTGAGTAATTTAACAAACGGATATTGCCATTGCCAGTTTCACTTAGAGTTTTGTATATTTTAACATTGTGTAACACTGAAATTTTGACAGTTACCTGCTGTTTTTCTGCACTTGTTTTAATTGTCTTTTTGACACTTTACAGCACTGAAAAAAATGCTGACAGTTTTCTATATAGCAACTGATGTGCCTACTGTACTTACTTCCATTGCCAATAATCGTATTACATAATCACAACCAAGTCACAAGAATTCAAAATGAAAGAGATTGAGAATATTAAGAAAGATGCAAATCAGAAGGAGAACAAACGTTTCGAAATAATGAATGTAAGATAACATCAAATGCGAAATTATTAAGATAGATCTGAAGGTAACCAAAAACTAACCCAAAACCTTTTGTCGATACAGTGGAATGCCAATGCTCTGTGGGCTTGGGGTAAGCTATTTACAGCAATTTGACATACTATTCGACTTTCTTGTTCTTGATAGATATTCAGGTTGATACTTGCGCCATTTGTCGCAATCTGATCAAGGATCCATGCATTGAATGCCAATCGAATAGAACCGATGAATGCCCCAAGGCCATTGGGACTTGCCAGCATGTTTATCACTTCCATTGCATTTCGCGCTGGCTGACCAAGCGTGAAGTCTGCCCTCTGGATTATCGTGTCTGGCAATACAAGAACTGATCCAAATTTAGAATAGCCAAGTGAGATATATATATAAATATATATGCATATATGATATATATGATATATCCATATATGCATATATATATTGAATAAATGCATTGAATGAAAGTAGACAACTTGGTTTCCGCTTAAACTCAGATCATATATTATAGACATGGGCAACTGGCAAATCAGGATATCTGTAACATGCGGAAGAATGGGCCGTAGATATATGGGATTTGCATTGTCATCAGCTTATAGAGTAGATGATTTCCCCAATCATATATTATAACGCCTAATAGTTTCATCTAAATGGCAAGTTCACGATTTCTCAACGGGCAGTCGTTTGACTTATCTGCAGCTGTTGCTTAATAGCTCATACGCCACGTTGCTTATGTTGCAGCTGAAGCAGCAGCAGCAGCAGCAGCTTCTGCCCGTTGGGTAACATTTGTAACCAGGCGGATGTGAAGGATGAAGCTTGTTTGGCTGAAGTCTGCGGTCTCTGTGTCTGGTTAACTTCCGCTGCATTTGGCTTTTAGCTGTTCGCGTTGCTGTTGCCGTCGCCGCTGCCGTTGCCACTGCCACTGCCATTGCCATTGCCGTTGTCGTTGCTGCTGTAGCTGTAGCTGTTCCTCTTCCTGATACGCTGGCCCTGTTGCTGGTCCTGGTTCATGTCTGCCTCATAATTGTATTGATTAGCTAATTAGCTGCAATTCCGCGGCCGGAAATTGCCCGTTTTGTGTGGCCTAAGCAGCAGCCTCAGCAGCTGATAAAATGGTCTCTCTCTCTCTCTCTCTCTCTCTCGCACACCCTTTGCATATATCTCGTTCTCTCCATCTAACTCTAATTTTTAAGTGCGCTCGCTGTCGGCTTGCCACATAATCTTGTCATGAATATATTTGTTTTGTTTGCCTCATCTCTCTCGCTCTCTCCACATCGTCTAAGCGTTAAAGTCGCGCCATAAAAATTCATTGGCAAAAAAAAAAACAAAAAGCAGCCAAAGTATTACCAATCGCCGCGAGTAAGCAGTCCAGACGAGTCGCAGCTCAGCCCTGCCTCTGGCTGGCTATAAAAGCTGAGCCACATCAACGAGCGCTGGGCGTGCCCCACATCCAAGCATCATTCACTCTTGTAGAGTGGCTGCAGTTGCTACATGCTACATGCTTTCAATGAGTGTTTGATAGCCCACTCTATTGACTCGTCCCTTTCCGGTGCTTAAGATTGACTCGCTTAAGTCTTCGTGTATCCACTCGTTGCTTAGCTGGCTGAAGTTTTTACTCTTCATTCGAGGATTATTTACTCGTCAGATACTGCTCACTCGTTCAAGCTTATTGCCTATACTTAGTCGTTACTTATAACTTGCTCGCTGCTTTTGCAACACTGAGCACAGCTTTGCTCGTTACTCGTTAGTCATTTACTCGTTACGTATCAGAGCTGATAAGAACATTTACTTTCACGCTTACTCGTTATAGTTTCGAAGCTCTTCACTCGCTCAACTTTTCATTTCTTACTCGTTGATATACTTTACTCTACTCGCTGCTCGTCTATACTCGTCGTGATATATCTATCTCTTCTCTCTCTCTCTTACTTACTTACTCGTTACTCGCCTGTTATCTCATTGTACATGATGCAGTCCAAGAAAAATACAAGCAGAAAAAGAAAAACATTTTATAAAAGGCATTGCACAAAGTTTTCCTCAATATTAAAGAGACGATGGGTTAGTGACAAGCTTCCCAGCCGGGAAAGGATGCTAGAGGAGAGAGAAGGAGATAGGCGATACGACGACAATGCAGGCGAAGGCAATGAGCTTAAGTTCAATACATTTACTTGAATTTTCAGCTAGGATGACGACGTCGATGTCGTTGACTACTTGGCATTGGGAGTGGGGATGCTCTATGCCTGGCGGGGGGTGAGCTGATGGGTGGTACAGTTGGCGGTAACATTGTAACCCCCATGCCCCATTACAGCACATTTTGTGGCGCAAAAAATGTTCGGGAAAAGCGCAAATGTGCGAGGCGATAAGCAAAGCAGAAGCAGCTCCACTCAAAGCTCGAATCTGGCGCCTTGGGAGGGACAATTTGGGTTGTGTTTTTTTCGGGAAACTAAATAGAGTTGAGCTCGGCACGAGTCCTATTCCAAGGCAATGCAATATGTGGCAAGCAGTGTGGCTGAAAGTGGAATATAAACAACAAATTATGAAAGGAATACAGAATACTACAGAATGCATAGCTATACATGTTAAAAGTCAATCAATCAGTCAATCAGTCAATCAATCTATGCTGTCTTACCTTGCATAAGATACCTGATATGTAGTTAAGTAATTAATCATTCAATCAATCAGCTCGTCAGTAAATCAATCTCAATTTAGTTGCCTACCTTTAACAGCTTCAGCTCTTCGCTAAGCATCAATCATTCACTAACTAACTCAATATATCAGTCAATCAGTCAAATGATATGATGTGAACCAAGGACTATAGATAATGAAGCATACAGCTGAACTCTTGGGTAACCTTTCAATCAATTAGCTCTTATAACTGGAATTTTCGGCTAGAGCTCCAACGAATCAGTCAAGTTTGTCAATCAATCAATTTAAACCTTCTATGCTACAAAAGCGATAGAAAATTTAACGAACTAGCTATTAAAGCAGAGCCTTTCAATTAGTCAATCAATCAATCTGTCAGTCAATCAACTAATTTTCAGTTCTTGCATATGCTACGAAGACAATAGCAAATGTACGTGTCTAGACAAGGTAAAACAATCAATCAATCAAGCAGTCAGCCAACTCATCAATCAATCAATCAATCAATGAACTTCAACTTTGATCATATATTGCAGCGTGCAGCTTTAGCAGCAATTTGAACTCTTGCAGTTTTTGATCTGTACGTTAAACATCAATCTATCAATCAGTCAATCGTTTTCACTCAATATATTTCAGAATCAGTTCAGTTAAGGCTAGGAAAGGGTGTTGGAATGTGAGCGAAGCAAGCGACATTGCAACGTTTTTCGGCACACACACGCACACCCACCCATTTACACACACACACACACAGATAGAGGGCGAGAAAATTGATGTCCATGTGGGTGGGCTATGTGTGTCTGTGTGTGAGTGCAAGTGCTTTTTGTGGATTGAGATTTTGGTGGCGCGTTTGTAAGTTTTCCTTATTTTTTTCGTTCTTTTGCAAATTTATCGCTTTTAGATAAAACGTTTTGCGTTTTTACGATACGAGCAGCAAGCGCTGCGAACTATCAGCGGGCGATGCTGAAAGAGCTTTGTTTTTATACCCTGTACCAATTGGGCAAACGATAGCGGAATGGGTAGAGCGACAGAGCACAGTATTTACGACTGCCAAATGCTTACATATAGCTGATATGATGTTGTCTTTCAGGAATTTCAGAATATCGATAAATATCGATTTAAGAAGTTGCCTTTTCAGACATAGCTCGAAGACTACAAGAGCTAGGCATATGCAATTTGGTATGTAGCTACCTATAGGGTATACGCAGACTATGAATATCATTTTTCTTGATTGCCATTAGCATAGACCGGAAAGATGGGATAGTGTCCAGTGGCAGACGGGGTATCTTACAGTCGTGCAGTTCGGCGTGCGCCTGTTGGATACATGCTGCTGGATTATGAAGTAATTTAATTAAAACGTCTTAGCACAAAATAAATTTCGAGCATTATTTATGCAGCAACAGTTCGAGGCCAAAGACGAGACCAGAGCCGAGGAGGGCCCACAGCGTTAGCCAGAACAGGGCGGCTAGCTCCTTGAAGGATAATACCAATAGTTTGGTCTGCGTTGTCTCATCCTCTCGCTGCTCGATTTCACCCTCCGGCTGATGTCCATTCAGCGTCTCATAGGGTATGGCAGCGATCCGTGCGATGCTCTGCTCTGATTCATCCACAGCGCTCACATATTGCCGCGTCCAGTGCTCGAGGAAGCCATGCGAATGCGCCTGCATAATCTGCTTGTTGAGCACGCCAACCAGATGCGAATGCTGGCGCACATTGAACGCCAGCTGCTGCGTGAAGATGCGCTCCCTGACCAAGTGCAGCCGGCGACTCATCGCGTGCACCTTGCGAAAGTAGCCGAAGTATTCGTATGGCGTTATGATCGCCACACGTTCATCGCTGCCGCTGCGCGCTGCCAAAGCGGCAAAGGACTGCAACTCACTGGCCTCCAGCTCACGCTGCTCCTGGTCCTGCAGCTCCGGCAAGCTTTCCAGCCAGCGTTGCGCATTGCCGGCAGCCAGCTGAATCGTATATCTCTGTGCCACCACCTCGGCTATGGTTTGCGGTGGATTGCGTTGCCTGTCCTGGCGTAACATTTGATACATGCCCGACTGATAAGCGCTGCGTATTACCCAGGTGCACAGCAGCCACGTGACCAGCAGCAAACGCAGCGAGTTAGACCTCGGCAGTTCCCTGGTTAACAGATTTCCGCCCATGGTCAGCACCAGCAGGTGATAATACGGATGCTGAAATGGAGTTGGAAGGAAAACTTGTTTATTAGACAATATATGCGTCAGCTTTGCAAACCTAACCTCACTCAAACTGTGACCTAACCTCAATATCTATATTTGTACTTGTAATATTAATATATAATAATGCTAAGGATATAATTTAGATACTGTTAACTACTAGTATTTACCTGCGGCAACGTATTCCCAAATCGCTTTAACAGCCAAACTGCAAAGTAGCCCAGCCCTACCACCAGCCCAATGGCCCGCCACAGACTGGGATGAAAGGGGAAGGCCAGTTTCTCGTAAGCCGAGTATGCGCTCGGCAGATTGGTGACCAGCATAATGTGACTCATGAAGTAGTATGTCGACTGCGAATAGGGCACCTCCTCCTGCTCATGGGGCTTATAGTGGAAGCCGCCCAATGCATATTCCGCTTTACTAAATATCTGTAAGCAAATTAATATTACCAAAACTGATTCAAAATCTGTAAATTCATAGTACCAGCCCGCAAATCAATTGCAATAACCAAAAATACAGCAATCTACTCCAACTCATAATTAATTAATACCAAATAACGTACAAGGCATATCTAATTGCTATTCAATAATTAAAAATACCAAATAAAATACCTTAATGCAATATCAATAAATACTGCTTAATAAAATACCAACAAATTTGAAGCAATTCTGAAAACTAAATAAAATACCACAAAAATATTATTCAATGCAAAATACCAAAAAGTTCAAATTCTCAAGATCAAAAAAAATATACTAAAAATTTAAGTTCAGTATTAAACAACAAATTCAAACAAAATGAAAACATAAATATTACGCATACGCACCTGCTCGAACACATAACCGGACTCATCGAATGTATCGCGCACCTCTGACTCGTTCAGCCAGTAGAGGCCCATGCTAAAATTCAAATTATTGGCCATGAACTGCAGCAGTTCGCCCTCGATGCCCAGAAAGGTGCCATCAGCGCGTAGCACCAAATACGGCATATCCGGCCACGTGGCACAGGTCAAGGTGCAGCCGTAGAAGTTGTCCAGCTTTTCTGGGAAATATTCGTCGTTCTCCCAGGTGCCAAGGGTGCAGTCAAATCGATTTACAACACTGGCACGGATATGCTGACAGCCGTGCGTAGCACTGTACGGAAAATAGCTGAGCAGCAGCAGCCACTGGCCGTCGGGCAGCAGCAAGCCAGCTTTCAGCACGCTCCGACTCCACATCAGCTGCATGGCCGGCTCCGGCTGCGGACTCAGCATATAGATGAGCGTATAGGACAAATCGCTTGTAGCGCCCAGATGCTTGTAGAGCCGTTGCAGTGCACGTAGATCCTCTACCAGCAACAGTACAGCATGCTTATACGGTCTGTAGGTCAAGGCTTGCTGCTGGAACAGTCGGCGCGGTTGCAGCGCTGCGGCTGGCAAAGCCATTAGCACCCCACCAAGCAGCTCCTGCAGCCGCGACCGAGCCGTCAGCGAGCTGTACTCCAGATGAACGTAAAGGGTCTGGCTATGTGACATCTCCGACTGTTGCAGCACCTGGGCCAATGCAAGAGACAGTGAGTCCAGCCGTGAGGTTTCCCTCATCGTCAGCGTCGCGTGACATTGCGGCAGCAGCAGCAGCAATAACAGCACATTGGGCAGAAGACGCACAGTTAGCCGCATTTCTCGACTTGTGAGTCGCAACTGACAGCCACTGGGCTTGCATCGCCCTTGTTCTTATACTTGATTCGCCGACTCCAGGGAAATCTATTTAATGGAAAGTTAATAAGCATACGCGCGTATGAGAATTCAAAATTATATCCCCTTTTTCTTTTTATATTATATTTTCTTTTATATGATTATCACAAGACCGTTAAATAAAGGCTTTCGTTTGACTGGAATCGATTAACGAATATTGAAACGACCATAAAGTCCCTAACGAAGATAAACGATTATTATTTATACTTGCAAACGAACATAAACAAAATTACAAAGAACGAATATTAGAGAGCATAATAAGGGACATTTGATAGAGATGAACAGTTGGCAATAAGAATTTCTATACGAATAAAATACCTCAGCACTAGAAGGGAAATTTTAGTCTAACACAGATGAGAACAGAGCTACAAAATAAAATACCAAAGCTTAATAAGGGACCTTTGATAGAGATGAACAGTTGGCAATAAGAATATTGATACGAATAAAATACCCCAGCACTAGAAGGGAAATTTTACAGTCTAACACAGATGAGAACAGAGCTACAAAATAAAATACCAAAGCTTAATAAGGGACATTTGATAGAGATGAGCAGTTGGCAATAAGAATTTCGATACGAATAAAATACCCCAGCACTAGAGGGGAAATTTAACAGTCTAAAACAGATGAGAACAGAGCTACAAAATAAAATACCAAAGCTTAATAAGGGACATTTGATAGAGATGAGCAATCGGCAGCCAATAAAATGTATAAAAAAAAAAACAATAAATACCCCAGCACAAGAAGGGAAATGTGACAATCGCTAACACTGATGTGAGACTCGATAAATGAAGCGCAAAATACGAGCATAGCAACAAATGTAAGGAAAGCTCAGTAAAGCTTCAAATCGATTTCAATTCAGTAATTGAGTAATTGAGCCAATCAGATGAAAATACGCCTCAAGGCTTGGTAGGCATTTGGCTTGCTACGCTGCCACATGTTTATTAAGTCAGCATTAAACACATTTCCCATGAGTCAGTCAAAGCATTAACTGAAGAGCAAAAAGCAAAGCTAACTAAGCCTCTCTCTCTCTTTCTCACAGTCTCTTAGCTACTATCGATATGTTCGATGATTGATGCTCTCTCAACGCCTTTCGCTTCAAATTAAAACTAATTATTTTTCATTTTCTAGATTTTTTTTAAAGTGCTTCTTTTAATTGGGTGTACATAATTCAAATAACCTTCAGCTAATCATCAATAATATCAGTATCGCTATCATCATCGTTATCATTATCGTTATCGTTATCGTCATCGTCATCCTCGAAATGGAAATAGTCCACATCGCCATCAAGGTCGTCCTTCTTGGCGACGTGTCGATTGGGCTTATTTTTCTCGGTGGTCGTTCGCATCGCATTGGCCTGCTCCTGGTCGTTCGGCTCCGGTTCCTCCTCCGTCTCGTCAAAGATGCCACGTTCGGCGGCGCCTAGCTCATAGACAGGTGCATCCTTCTCCTTCGTCCTGCTGCTAGACTGACGCACCAAAAGCGGCGGCTTGACGACCACACGCGTCTGATTCGTATGATGATTGAGCATGCCCTGGTAGAGATGTGGAAAACGACGCTGAAACTCTGCCTTAATGCGCAGCAGACGCTCCAGCATGCCGGGCGTGAGCAGCTGCTGAGTGCGCGCCATGATGTGCGTATCTCGTCGTGGTCGTAGATATGCCTCATAGCTGCCGCCGCCGCTATAAAGCGGATAGTGTGGATCGTACGGCTTCCGATTCCAGGGATCGTTCGGCTGGGCCACGGGCAGCAGGCCCATGTACGGACGTAGCAGGCCCTCGTTGAAGCCAATCGTAGAGCCAAGAGTTTCGTTAACATTCGGTGAGGATGTGGATGCTGATGCTGATGTGGATGCTGATGTGGATGTTGATGTGGATGCTGTTGATGGACTGTTTGATGCAAATGAAAATGAACGAAATGAAATTAAGTTAAATTAGTGAATGAAAATGTTAATGTTTATATTAATGCTAAAGTTAATGATTGGAATTTGTATTATATTTAATTAGTTGATGATGATGAGATGGAACTGTTGCTGCTGTTGCTGCTGCTGCCTGGCCGCTGCTTTCGTCTGCGGCGCAAGCGCTTTGAACATTTGCTGGGACGCGGAGTGGCGCTGGTCGGCTTGGAGCGATTCGGGACTCTGTTGCTGTTGCCGGCCATCTGGGCGAGCGCATTTTCACGCTGGAGCTGCAAACGAAGGAGTTCGTTTAGCACATCGATCAGCTGATCGAGCTTCGTACTGCGCTCGCGCAACAGCGATAGCTCCTTGGTCGCCTTGCCGCTGGCCTTCGTTACCTTCGCTTGACGCGTCGTACGCAATCCCAGCCGTGTGCTGCGCCTGCGCACAAATTTACCGCGCAGCGCATAAGGAGTGGGCGTAGTCGTGTCAGCCCCATCATCGGCGGCAGCCTCCGTTTCGGTTTCCCTGATGGCATTGCCATGCAGCGCCGCATTCAGCAGCTGCGCCTGATTTAGCGCTCCGAGGGAGCGCTCAGTGGTGCTGGTGGAGTAAGTGGCACGCTTTGATTTGTTATCCGGATCGTAAGGCTGCAGCTCCTGGTAGATGTAATCGCCGGCGCCGCTGCTGTCAGGCTTGGATAGATCGAGCTGCCCGCCCTGCGCATACTGCTGCTCATGCGTCTTGGACAAATAGTTGGTATCGTAGCCTTTGCTGGCCAGCAGACGTGTCCAATGCTCGGCACTTGGCGGCTTCTCTGTGGTGGTGCTGGTGGTGGTGCTAGTGGTGCTAGTGGTGCTAGTGCTGCTGCTGCTGCTACTCGTGGTGGCTGGCTCCACTTGCCGGCAATCCCTTAGCCTTTGCTCCGCTTGCGTCAACTGCTCCTTGAGGCTTTCGACCAGGCTGTAGAGCTTCTTGAATTCCATTCGTGCCGCCGCCAGCTCAGCGCGCATTTGCGAACGCTCGCTGCTCTCCACATCCAGCTGCGTACGCTCGGTGACAGTGCGCTCAGTGGGTGGGGCAGCTGTCGTTGTCTCCGTGGCATATTCCTCCGGCTGGTTGGCAACCGTCTCGCCAGCTGCCAGCTGATCGCCGCTTATCTCGAACGGCTCCTGGCTGGCGCGTTCCAGAGCCTCGCGCACCGAGGCCGCATTGTAGCGCATCAAGGCCTCCGCCGGATCCTCATCCGGGCTCAAGGTGATCTCCTTCAGGCCCAGCTTGTACTCCTTGCGCAGCGCATTCAGCGAACCCTCATCGATGGTCTCTAATGTGCCGTATTCGGCGTTGCGCCTGTGCCTCGTTCGCTGCGCTCTGGCACAGCGACAGCCGCCAGCCAACTTGGCTCGGCTGGCGCAACGGCAGCTGCTGCCGCAGGCGCAGTGAGCGCTGCCGCAGCCGCAGCTGCCGGCTCGCATAGCTGGCGAGGAATGGTTTAAGAGTTTTGCTAACCTTTTCTCTATGCGATGATCGCCGCTCGGCAGGGATGGGGGCGTGGCCAAACTAGTGTGGTTGCTGCTGTTGTTCGTGTTGCTGGTCAACTGCTGCCGCTCCTCCTGCTGCCGCTCCTCCTGCTCGTCGGGTTTTATTGCCTGAAATGCGTCGCCTGTTAATGACAATGAGGAACAGCGGGCATGGAAGAAGATGGAGAAATGTGAATGATATGAAGCCAACTACTTGGGTGTCGGTGTGTGTGTGTGTGTTAGGGCATGTGTGAGTGTGCTGTGCGCATGTGTGTGAGTGTGCGTGGCTTAGCCTAAAGCAAATTAAACTCTGTGTATAAAGCTAGCGCAAGGTCAATAGGAGAAAGCAGCTAAGTCAGTGTGAGTCCCGGACTCAGCTATAGCTGAGCTGTTCTCACATCAATTTGAGGGGCTTCAAGTTGCCTAAGCTAAATTTGCGTCCACTATGAAAGTTCTGTTTGCATTTGCTCAAGCTTAACTTGGCTGGCTCAAAGTTTCCTATGCGAATTTCCCTGTGCAGAACCCTCCCAAGTCTCAGGTTCAAGCTCTCAAAACTAAGCTGCATTTGGTGCTTTGATCTGTTGGGTTCATCTGCATGTCGTGTTCTAATTTAAGGCTCCCAACATTGGCTTAGCTTAAGCTTAGCGCTCCAATCACTGAGTGGAATGGCTGTTTGTCCTGAGCTGGTTCCTTCTAGCAATTGCCTTGTCTTCAGCCAAACTTACCATCATGGTGTTATGCTGGCGCAACATGTGATCGATCTCGTCGTTACCAACAGCCGCCCGATACCCACCATATCCATTGGAGCCGTAACCGCCACCGCCGTAGCTGGTGCCGTAGCTGGGTCTATGCGCATGTGCGTAGCTTGGGCCATAGGCCGGTGCGTAGCTAGCTGGCGGCGCATTCTGGTAGTAGTTGATGACGGTGTGAGCCGAGTTGGACTTGGATTTCTTGCGGTGATCCTTGCCCAAGCCAAGCACGTCCACTGTTCGTGGCGAGAGATTAGGATCGGTATTTCGGAATACTCCAAAGAGATTACCTTTGTGTCGGGCCTGGCCAGCATTTTCGGGCATTTGCGGCTTCGCCTCTCCCAGCATTCCCTCGGCTTCCAATTGCGGTTGTTGCTGCTCCATCTGTGGCTGCTGCTGTTGCTGCTGCATTGCCAGCATCTTCTCAGCTGCCCACTGACGCTCGGCTGCCTGCTTCATTTTTTGAGCTTCTAGGATTTGCTCCTGCTGCGCCTTGGCCTGATCCTCGGTCCACTGACGCTGCTGCATGTCTTGCTGTGCCTTGGCTTCATGTTCGCTCCACTGACGCTGCTGCTCCTGCTGAGTTTTGGCCTGATCCTCGGTCCATTGACGCTGCTGCATGTCTTGCTGTGCCTTTGCTTGAAGCTCGCTCCACTGACGCTGCTGCTCCTGCTGTGCCTTGGCCTGATCCTCGGTCCATTGCTGCATCAGCATGGGATTCTGTTGCTGCGCCATCATAGGAGTCTGCTCCCTTTGTGCTTTGGCCTGATCCTCGGTCCACTGACGCTGCTGCATTTCCTGCTGCGCTTTTGCCTGCTGTTCCATCCATTGGCGCTGCTCCTGCTGTGCCTTGGCCTGATCCTCGGTCCACTGTCGCATCATCATGGGTCCCTGCTGCCGCAGCGGCATGGGCATTTGAAACTGCGAGGCGTCTCGCTGTGCCTCCATGAATTCGCGCATCATCGAGGTCATTGCTGGCTGCTGCATCGTCATGGGAATCTGTTGTGGTGTGTTCTCTGCTTTGGCCTGATCCTCGGTCCATTGACGCAACATTGTGGGATTCTGCTGATGAGCCTTAGCCTGATCTTCGCTCCATTCGCGCTGCTGCTCCTTAGCCTGTTGTTCCTTTGCTTGCTCCTCGGTCCATTGACGCTGTTGCTGCTGCTGCTGCTCCAGCTGCTGCTGTTGATTCTCCTGATTTGCCTTCGTTTGATCCTCCGTCCACTGTCGCATCATCTCGGCACTCTTAGCCTGGTTTTCCGCCCACTGTCGCATCATTTTTTGATTTTCCTGCTGTGTCATGGTCTGCTCCTGCATCCATTGACGCTGCTGCTCTTTGGCCTTGGCCCCACCTTCCATCCACTGTCGCATCGTCATGGGATTCTGTGCCTGCATCTGCTGCGACAGCTGTTGCTCCTTGGCCCTCCGCTCGGCATTCTCATTGGCCATGCGATAGGCATAGGCCATTACCTTGACTATGTCCTCCTTGGATAAGCTCTGCGGAGCAGCCCCAACCTGGCGCTTGGCATACGTTCTGCGCTGCATCTCCCTGTGCAGCAGGCGGCGCACATAGTCGTCGCGGAGAGCGCGCTCAATGTCGGCCCGGGTGATCTTGTGCACTGGCGTGCGGCTCAGTGGGTAGCGCAGCTTGTAGGCGGGTCCATTCCTAGGCGTCTCGCCTTGGGCATTGGCGCGCATTTCGCGTGCCAAGCGCTCGATCTGCTGCAGCTGTTGCAGCTCCTCAATCACCTGGCGCTCGAAGGCCTCCAGCTTGGACTCGATCTGAGCACGATCGGTGTTCTTGCCATTCTCTTGCTCCTCTTCGTTCTCCTGCTTGCTGGGCATACGGAACCAGAGCAGCGGCACTCGCTGCTTCTCCTGCTCCATCTGCAGCGCTGACTTGATCTTCAGCTGAGCCAGCTGCGCCTGAGTCTGCTGTGGCGCCCGATAGCCAATGCTGTCTTGGTTATCCGGCTTGACGCGCACCTCCGATATGTCCGAGGCCTGAGGGCTACGATCGCTGCCCGGCAAGAACTGACGTAGGCCAGCCATGAAGGCATCCGGCGTCGGAGCTCCGGGTATGCCGCTCAATGCGCTGCCTAACAGATTGTTGCTGCCATCGAATAGCGCTCCAAATCCTGGTGGTTGAGCCTGGCCGAGCGTAGGAGTGGCAGGCGCCGGCGCCGCTGGCTCATCCGCGGCCTTGGCTGCGGGCGGTGCTGCTGTGGTTGCGGGCGCAACGGGCGCCTGGCCGAGCAGGCCATCGAGTGAAGGCAATCCAAAGCTCTGCATAACGGGTGCCATCTGGCCTAGATTGAAGGCATCCGGCATTGGCGGCATCTGGCCGAGATTGAAGTTATCTGGCAGTGGAGGCATTTGTCCCAGGGTGAAGCCATCCGGCAGCCAGCCGGCGGGCGGTCGGGGCATCATTTGGGCTAGATTTGGCGGCGGCGGCATCTGGCCAAGCATCTGCTGCATCTGCTGTAACATAGCAGCTCCATTCAATGCAGCTGGCGGTGCTGGGGCAGGTGGCGCAGCTGGCGCCGCATCCTGACGCGTTACACGTGACTTGTGACCATTCGCATCGTCGGCTAGGACAAGCACCACCTTGGAAGGAGCTGCCTGCAGATTGTCCGGCACGGCGCCGAGCAGAGTCTGAGCGGGAAATAGGCTGCCCCAACGCAAGAGGCTGCTTAAAGCCGGGAACATTAAATAAAAAGCATCGACAGTGGGGATTCCACTGCGAGGCAGCGTAACGGGCGGCATCTGCGAAAGTATCTAGAATTGGGCAAGGGGAATTGTGGAAGAAGAGGGATAAGAGTGGGACGCAAGGACGAAAAGGTCATGAAGCAAAGAAAGAAAGAGAAAGGATTAGAGAATTATATCTAAATAATCGTATGTTTACTATAACTAAAAGCTCAACGGATTGTTCCTATAGCAACTATCTGATCTATGAAGAGAAAAACTTATCCACAAACATCCACAAATGATTATAAATACAGAGAAAGAAGTTTCATCGTGAAAGACTAGAGACTAGATTAGACTAAACCGAAAAGTCGATCAGCAATATATATCTATACAAATATATATATATATATTTGAATGACCCAACTATGTCAAACAATCAGAATCTCCTGCTCATGGGTTATCGATAAGTCGAGTATCGCCCATCTCTAGGCTTGTCCTTTCCGTTTACTAACCTGCTCCTGGCTGGGTATCGTCAGCTTGGTCTGCGCAGCGGTGGCATTTGTCGCATCATCCTTAGCGTCTGTCTTCGTCAAGCTGTCGACGGCAGCAGCTGCTTCGGGGCCGCTGACAATGCTGGCACTCGGCTGAGCATCCTGGGCGCTGCACAGAGCGCCGCCTAGCAGTAGCAGCGTTAAGCACAACGAACGCATCCTTAGTACGTATATCCTATATTCTATATCCTATTTGTGTATAGACCGCACTTCACACTCTCCACTGTCACTTTCACTTTCACTTTTTCCAGAGCACTTTCGCTTGAGCGTCGAACGGCAACTGACGTTCCAAGCGCTCCAACGCTGGCCCATATAGAATAGTTGCTCGTCGTCGGCGGCGGCGGCGGCGACAGCAGCAGCAGACAAAAATTGTCGACGTCGCCGAATCGTGCTAAAGAGCTGCGCCGCTTTTTGCACGCATCGCGAGGTGGCAGGCCACGCCCCCCGGCTTTGACACCAAAAAATATTTGCCATTGCATTTCAATTTCGTTTCCGTGTGCCACAAAAGACAGCTAAGAGGTATAGAGTCTTTTAATTGAAAGTCAGCAACTCGTAGATACCCTGTAATCGATAAATATCAAACTGACGTTATCGATTCAGTGATGCATAGATATTAATGAATCTACTTACAAAATGAGCGACATTTATATATAAAGAAGCAATGTGACAAACATAGGCTTCGATAACTTATCGATTGCCAATCGATGTTTGGAAAACGTGCACCTAGAGAAGAAGAAGTAACGTAGCCAAAAATGAGTTGCAATACAGCTTTAAAATTCTATTAACAAATCCTAGTTTAAGCTGCAAGTATCGATTTCTAAATCACCAAAAAGTTATCGATAATATAAAATTTCAAATTGTACAGGGTATAACTAGTAAAAGAAATTGTAGAAATCTACATCAAAGACTGCAGCAGCCGGCGCAGCACAATAAATAAATAAATTCAAAACCAAAAACAAAAGCAGAAAGAAAAATTATATGAAGAAAAACCTTGGCTTAACAATTTGCTGATGAGCCACTTTTCATGGAATCAGCGCAAATTCTGATGCACTGAAAACAAATCCGCAGTTCCACAAAGTTTACAATTATTCTCTTATCTGTTATTTTGAAACTGTTTGATCTACGATTTGCGTCAATCCGGAAGCTGTGCGCGACTTTTTTTTAACCGTTTTATCTCGCGTTTTATGACCGTTGCAAAAAGTGTGACCCTACATACTAATTTTTTTTGAACACTCGCCGGTACGTGCTCATCTCAAATATACGATAGAGATGGTAGCATGGGACACGCAAAATGCACGCTAAACGTTATTGTACGTAGCATTACTCAGTGCTGGAAGCTTGTCTGACGCTAAAAGGCGTATGACTAAAAGTATAATTCCCGAATCTCTATATGTTAGTCGGTGAAAATCAAATATAGAAATATCAATATTCGAAAGATGGTTCATATTAAAATAGAGGATATATATATATATATATATATATATATATTATAATTAAATGCAAAAATATATTCATATTCCATTTACATTATGACGCTTTCGATTTTAGTGTTTTGGTGCTTGACCAAATAATTCTCGCAGCGTAGACCGCCTTATCGCAAAAGTGTGTCATCGAGCTAAAAAGCCAGCAAAGTGCATGAATGCTGAACTAAGCGTTGCAATGGACTTTTAACTCGTTGTCTGTTGTACAAAATAAGAATAACGTATTACACGAAATGTGTATGAACAAGTATTATTTATTTATTTTTTTTAAGTTGCGGGCGTCTGCTTAGATCAGCACAAAAACTACAGCAATACAATTACATGTAATGGAAACGAGCTCATAAAATACGGTCAGCGATCTGTAAAGTATGTTGCGACACGAACAATTGTTGCATCTGTTGCAATTTCATCATAAATTAGTCATTGCAAGGCGAATCAAAACCAGGTAAACAAAACTAAATAAAAAACCAAAGACACAGAAACGCATAAAAAGCTTATTGGCCAATTTGAGTGCTATATTTGGGGGCACACTTATGCATTTAGTAAACTAAATAAAATAATGTCTGGGCACACTGACAGTAGCAACTTCAACCTAATTTATGGTCTAAACTGTTAAATTGGTTTTATTTTGCAGATATGGTAAACGCCGTGTGGCATGCGGCAGGTAATATCACATCTATAAATAAATTATAAATGGATAATTTTAATTATAACTGCAACATTTTATTTGTTAATTTCTCATTTTGAGATTAACGTAACTCTGACCAGAATATTCAGTATAAATAAGAAAAAGGTATACTGGTCACATTGCTGCTGCTTTAAATTGACTAGGCAGTTAAAAAAAAAAACGAAAAACTCAATTTATAAAATAAGCAATTTAAGTATAGATATTGGCTTTTTCAGATGTAACATTTGGCCTGCGTGGCAGGCAATTTGGCCAATAACTTGTTAACTGATGGCACATCCATTTAAATACAATTTGCCAGATTATGTGCTGCGATAAACTGCACATGCAACGACTAAAAGCTTCGGAAATTGCCATCGTACACAGTTAACTGACGACACTTCGCTGGCTCACTTGCGCGCCAACATGTTGTCAAGCGAGTCGGTGCAATCTATTCATAACATAACGCTAATATACGCCGTGGTGTGGACGATTAACAGCCACTATGCGAGCGACTCCAGCAAGGCGCTGTCCATCATGAGTTTCGCCAGGCGGGAATCGAGCCGTGCTCAGCACAATGATCTCATTGATGCTGTGCTGGGTCTCGCGTCCGCTGCCGGTCGCATAAAGTTTTTACTGCAGAACGAGGGCATCGTTAGCGACGAGTCGCTGACCGAAGAAACACCACAGGCACCCGCAAGCGGAGTGCTGGGCAGGGACACGGGACTCTTTCTGCTGGATAGCTGGGCCACCTATTTGCGTCTGGAGCAGCATCTGATGCAACCGGGCAGCTTCTACAAACGCAACGGCTACTATTGCATTATATATACGGGCGAAGAGACCGGACGCCTCGGCATCATTTACAACATCTTTCGACGTCTACTCGCTATCTACGTGATCAATGTGAATGTGCTGCTGACCAATCGACAGAATGGCACCATCCAGGTCTACAACTACTATCCATACCGTCCGTATCGATGTCAGTCATCGGAGCCAGTGCACTATGCCACCTTCCAAGGCAGCATGGGTGCCCCTCCGATCATTCATTCGGAGAACAGCGTTCTCTTCTTTGACAGAAAAGTGGATGACATGCATGGCTGTAAGCTGGTCACCGTCACCTTTCAGCACCGTCCGTTTGTCATCATCGATGATAATAGCAGTCTGCCTGATGATCAGCGATTATCAGGCATCGAGGGCAGGATCTATCAACTGTTAGCCGAGCGTATGAACTTTGCAATTAAACTGGTGAAGGAGCCCAATGCGGATCGTGGCGTTGTCAATCCTAATGGCACCTTCACAGGTGCCATGAAGATGGTGAGTCAACGGTTTCGAAGGCAATTGAAAAGACATATATTTTTTGTATAAACACAAACGATTTGAATGGAAATCGATAAATCGATTAACTTTATTTAAGTTCACACTCCTTAAAAAGTCATCTGCTATGATCAAAATTATAATTGTAAAGCTCTAAGTGAAGCTTGAAGTCGTAAACGAATTTTTGTTAATTTCAAATCAAATTTCTTTCCATTCCGATAAATATCGATAAAGACCGATATTTTGACTTGAAACCAAACAGTCATAAGAAACCGCTCTGCCCTCCGATTCCAAGTGATTTCAATGAAAATCGATAAATCGATAGACGATAATTATTGACACTCCACATTTGCAGATCGTCGATGGCTTGGCGAACATTACCTTCGTCTCATATATCTACAACAAGGAGCGTGCCATGTATATGCTGCCGAGCATCTCGTACACCAGCTTTCCCATTGTGCTCTGTGTGCCTGGAGGCAGATCGCTGACACCACTGGAACGGCTGACCAAACCGCTTGGGTACATCACGTGGCTGTGCCTGTTGACCTGCATACTGTTCGGCCTGACACTGATTACAGTGCTGCAATTGCTGAGCGTGCCGCGATTGAGTCGCTTTGTGCTCGGCGAGAACAATCGATTGCCTCGCACGGAGCTGTGGAGCACGTTGTTGGGTGGCCTTCACATGCATCCGCCACGTCGGAATTTCGCCCGTTTCCTGTTAGCCTTGTGGCTGCTCGAAACGCTGGTGCTGCGTGCCGCCTACACGGGCGAGCTGTACATACTGCTACAGGATGGACGGGTGCGTACGCCGCTGCGCACGCTGACCGAGGTGCTGGACAAGAAGTACGAGTTCCATATGCTGCCAGCACTGCAGCCAGTGTTTCGGAAGTTGGTCAGTCGGCAGCGAGTGGTTGTTATTTCCAGACTGGAGGCTTCGCTAACCCAGCTACGCGATGATACCGAAGCACAATTTGTGGTGCCACTGCTGAGACCAACCGCATCCCGATTCGACATGGACTCCGGTCCTAAGAAGCCGCGTCTAGCAATGCTCCGTTATCCCCTGCTAACCGCCCCGATGACCCTTTACATGCGTCCGCATTCCTATCTCAAGCAACGCATCAACACGCTGCTGATCAATATGATGTCATCGGGCCTGGTGGATCGCTTTCGTCGCATGTATCTGGACAGGATCGAGCATTTGGCCAGTGAGCGCAACCGTGAGCCCACCAAGCTCAGCCTCTGGCTGCTGGCCGGTCTCTTTGGCAGCTTTGGACTGATGCAGCTGCTAGCCAGCATCGTCTTTCTGCTCGAGCTGGGCGCCGCTCAGCCGCAGCGACCGCGTTTACGTCGACTCATGAATGCGGCCAATCGCTATATGGTCTAAAGCTACAAAAATCGGAACAAATTGAAGTTGTTCTTCTCTTAAATATATTGCAACTACATGTGCTATAAAGTAACTTATCTAGATTGTAACTTAACTGCAATTTAACTTATCTGCAATATAACTTATCCCCATGCTAACCCAGCTCTATTTAAAACTATTTGCATTTGCATTGTAACTATCTACAGTATTATTTACTATGTTAACTACCTTGTAACTTGACTACATTGCAGCTTATCTAGATTATCACTTAACTGCAATTTAACTTATCTGCAATATAACTTATCCACATGCTAACTTAGCTCTATTTAAAACTATCTGCATTTGCATTGTAACTATCTACAGTATTATTTACTATGTTAACTACCTTGTAACTTGACTACATTGCAACTTATCTAGATTGTAACTTAACTTCATTGTAACTTATCTGCAATATAACTTATCCACACGCTAACTTAACTTTTTTACCCAGTAACTTTTTTACAATGTACCTTTTCCACATCTTAACTTAATCTACATTATAACCAATCGTAACGTAACAACATCTTAACTTATCTATATTGTCACTTATCTACATTATAGCTTAACGTTGTCAGGCCTCAGGCTATGTGCAGATCAATCAATTGGACAGAAAATACAGTTGAACATATAATTAAAGCTTCAATAAATAATAGTACTCTTATAGATCAATTTAAAATCTTTCACAGACGCTCCAAAATCCTAGATAGCCAGCGATTGCGTACGCGTCGACTACATAGCTCAAGGATGAAGATGGCCAGTGTTACGGATTGGGCAAACATCAGGCAATTTAAGGCAGCATAAATTAGGCGCATGGACTCATTGAACTGAGCCACATTATCTGAGGAGTGTTGCAACGGATTTAGTCGAGTGATTAAGGTGGTGGCTAGATGGGACGACTTGAGCCGGTTGTTAATGTGCTGTCCAATGCCGGAGCTGCGCATAAGGAATAGCATATGATTGAAGTTGGAGGTCAGATAGGAGCCCTTTGGAAAGTGTACGCAGATCATGTTTTCAATGATCTTGTTGCTGGCTATAACAAATCTGTGAGGATCTTCCCCCCTCCTGGCCAGATAGTCAACCACAAAATTGAGGTTACTGATGATGGCGACACGATGATGTTCCGGCTGGGATAGCAGCTGCTCGAACATGTCCACTGGTTGGCCGGGCAGGATGCGTGTGCGTGCCCTTAAGGCGGGCAGCAACGTCGTCATACGATACGTAACATGATCCGTAATGAAGTGGTAATCCTGCGCCAGCGCCTGCTCCAGGCTGTGCGGCAAAGGACGACTTGGTGCATTGTGCACGAACATAAATATGGAGCTCTCGTAGCTTATGCGCAACAGAAAGATCAACAGATTCCAGGTCAAATTGAGGAGCGGTACGCGACGCCAGCCGCTCTCCCAGCACATCAGACGCAGTGTAGTCAGCACAAGAATCAAGAGCCAGACGTGCGAATCAAAAGGAAGCAGCATGACCTCATAGACGCTATACGGACGAGCCTTGCGCATCACCAGCACATACTCCACCTGGCTATAGGGCAGCGTGCTGGACAGATATTTATATCGAGCCGCCATGCAGGCCGCAAATCCAAGCGTAAGATTGGCCTGTCTCTGCTGGAGCATATAGAAGGCGCCGGTCATGGTGCCGTTCATAAAGCTAGAGCCCCCAATCAAATGCGCTGGCTCATTGACCACCAGGACCAGGCTAAAGTTCAGCTTGTTCGCTAGCAGCTTCAGTATTTCGGCATCAATGCCGGAGATTCGATCGTTGGGTTGCGTCCGTTCCATATGCAGTCGCATGTATGGCAATATCTGCCAGACAATCACGTGCAAAGGGCATCCGTTCAGATTTTGCAGCTTACGTGGATAGGTCTGTTCGATGCGTCCTTGATGCAGCAGGACAGGCAACGCCTGTGTACTCCCGCAAATACCAAGACCAGAGTAGGGATAGTACGTGAAGGCACTGACTGTGCCCGCCTCGAGCTGAGCCAGCAGCAGCAGCGCATGCACATTGTAACGGTAGTGCAGAAAATACGCAAAGATTTGGCTCATCTGCGAGTGCTGCCAGGCGGAGTCATCTTGCGCTGCTATCATTATGACTAAAAATTTGTATTTGTGTGCCTTATTCATGCGCGGATTGCGATCGCATGCTGTAATCAACTGATTGGCATTCTGCACAAAGAACAGCAACATTTGGGTGCGCAAGCCTAGCTGTTCATTGAGCTGCTTGTCCAACACCCAAGGCACAACTGGAATGAAGCTGCGCGTCAGCACACTTTCCACCAGGCGCTGTTCGTTGAGTGGCAGTTGATCCTTGTAGCTGGTGCTGATGAAGATGCTCATGTTGTATGCCCAACAGGTCTGCCTCAATATCATTTGCAGCGTTTTAGACAAATTGTCAACCAATTGTTCGTTCTCCATATTTTGTCTTGGCAGATAGCTGAGGCATGGCCCCAGCAGCAGCAGCAGCAGCAGCAACATCAGTAAATGCATAGTGTTCCGTTCCATTTCCACGGAATAACTGAAGTTGCACCAGTTGGTAATATTCTATATATGTATTGAATGCATATCGATTATGATTGTAGTCCAAACACCCTGGAGAAATCACCTTTGAAAGCCGTTTAAGTGCAAATTTGAAAAAACGTCATTCAGTGTTGGAAAATATTCAAAATCTACAATCAAAAGCTACCGCATTTTATATATGCATATATACATACGCATATTTTTTTGGAATTTTTTAGTGAATTATAGATAAAATTAATAAATGTAATAATTTTATCAATTTTTCTAGTTAAATTAATAATACACTAAACTTAATATGTAATGCCAGTGGTAAGTACAAATGCTTGAGCTCCCTTGACAATATGTACGAAAAACGAAATTAATTTAAATCGTGCATTAGGAAATCAGTGTAAATTACTTAAGCCAAGTGCCACTTGCAGCACTGTTCGACATGTTTAATTCCCAAGGCATTCAAATGGCATGTCAAACTGTAACGTTTACAGTTACACTCAAATAATGAAAATCAAGTTTTTCAACGAAATAAATTCATTATAATAGTAGGCTGCTACAAATAATAAGTAGTTCCTGTAATAATTTCAGCATATCTGACAAAATCAGTACTCGGGTGTTGTTCTCTTATTTTTTTTATATTTTATTTTCGAAGGATAAGTACATAAAAATCAAAAAGATACGATTGTGTTAGGCCAGCTCAACGGTTTAGGGTTCGCGATATGTTCCAATAAACTAAGTGTGTGTTTGGGCCCCTACTGTTTCGATAGCTGGTTGAATGGATAAATGTTCACAGTTCAACCTCTGTATATATATTGACGGCTTGCTGGATTTGTGTCAAGTCATTAAAGCTGTTAATTTCCAACACTGAAGCCAAGAGAATAGACGTTCACGACACTGTTCCGAACGTCAATTACATATCCTTTGTGTAAGTACTTGCCATAGCTCATTTGGCAATCCGACATACATAAGTCCACACATATATATATATTTATTTTTCGAAATATTTCAATTTGTGTGAAAAAAAAAAAGAAACTGTATAATTGCCATAGAAAGTATATTCCACACGCAACGGGCATGCCGATTGCCATTTTATAGTTTCACAAATTTAGCTTTTTGTTGCAATAAAATTTTTGGCCAATTCAAACTGAATTCAAACTTAACCTTAATGAGGTAATGTGTAAATGTAATGTAATGTGTAAAGGTAATGTATAAAATATGAAAACTAATAACGAGTCCTGCATAACCTCAAACTAAGCATCGCGCTTTAAAGCGGAAACGGTGCTGCGTTGTGTCGCCATTGTTTTTCTTCCTTATTTAGCCAGTTTTTGCTGTTGTATTTTGTACACTTTTTGGTATATTATTTTAAGCAAACCATTTTGTTTTTCAGTTCAGCAGTTTATAATCAAAGTGGGCACTTGAGTTTAACGTCCACTTCGAGTCAAGGTCAAATTCTTAACTTTTGAAAATACGGAACACTTCAATTATTGTTAAAACAGTCTATTATAACGAAGTACAATGGCGAATTCTGAGTGCTCAAATCAGTTTGTGAGGAACGTGATGGTACTGAAGAAGGACACCTGCTCGGTGCGCGAGCTAATCAATTGGGTTAACGACGAGATGCAATGCGATGTGAAGGAGCTATCAGAGATGAAGACAGGCGCAATTTATTGCCAATTTATACATAAACTGTTTCCAACTTCCATATCGCTGAGCAAAGTTTATTTGCATACAAATGCCCCTTATGAGATCGAAGCAAACTTCAAGCTTATACGCAGCACATTTTCCAAGCTGAATATCCGCAAGGAGGTACCACAGCGTGAACTTGTAAAGGGACGCGGACACTATGAGTTTCTTAACTGGCTGCACAAGTTCCACAAGCAGAACCATAATGGTGAACCCTACGATGCACTCGGTGAGCGTAAAGACAAACCGATCGGCTTGAGAAGGATTATAGATCTGGATCGACGCATCGATTACTCAGGCTATCTGAGACGCAGCACCACAATAGTTTCTTCCTTTAATACACACAAGCAAATGGATTTGGCGCCTCGTTCACACAGCCTGATTGGCATCTGTGCAAAGCCGGATAAGCATAGAAATGTTGGGCTTTTTAAAAACAAAGTAACACCGGATAAGCTTAAGGCCAAGGCCAAAGGCACAGGTCAAAAAACAGCCAATCACGCTGCTATGGATAAGCCAGTCCTTCCCGAAGTGGAAGCAGTTGTTGGAAATAAAGTAGAAGAGGAAGCCGTTCGCGACATTGATCTGAGCCATACGCAGCCGGCTTGTGAATCAGATCAACCGAATACAGAAACATTTAAAGGAAAACCAGAGCTCAGAGTTGGAGTGAAGCCTAAACCAACTCAGGCGATGTCTGAAATCGAAAAAATTAAATCGGAGCCAGCTCGCAAGGAATCGGAGCCAGTTCCAATGAGATCGGAAGCAGTTCAAAAGAAATCGGAACCAGTTCCAAAGAAATCGGAACCAGTTCCAAAGAAATCGGAACCAGTTCCAAAGAAATCGGAACCAGTTCCAAAGAAATCGGAACGAGTTCCAAAGAAAACGGAGCGAGTTCCAAGGAAATCGGACCCAATTCCTAAGAAATCGGAGCCAGTTCCAAGGAAATCGGAACCAGTTCCAAGGAAATCGGAACCAGTTCCAATTAAATCAGAGCCAGTTCAAATGAAATCTGAACCAGTGCCAATTATATCTGAACCAGTTCCAATTAAAGCAGAACAAATTAATGTAAAACAAGACCCAGTTGATGCAAAGCTGGAACCAGTTAAAATAGAAGCTGGCTTGCTTATCCAATCGAAAATGAAGCCAGCCGAAAAACCAGAACCAGTTAACTTGTCACCGTCAAAACATGTTTATTTTAAACGAATCCAACGTAAAGAAAATACTACGCCACCACTTAATATAAAGCCAAAACAAGGTTGCATAAATTTGAAACGCATAATTGGAACATCTCAACAAATGGCTTCTGAAATAAATCTGGTCAGTTGTGAACCAGTTCATCCATTAGAATTAATACCAGTATCACCGGTATCTATCAAACGAGTGCACGTGGCAGATGCGCTAATATCTCCGCAAGAAGCCAATCTGAAAATAGTTTCTCAGCAAACTAAACCATCCGTTTTTGATCCATATTTGTTACTATCTGAAACAGCAGCTCAGCAGCCTGCTTGTGAAATAGCTTCACAAGTCCAAGATAAAGTAAATTATAGTCCTAAGCTTTTTGCAGATAAGCCAGTTGCTCCGAAGTTATTCGCTCATTCTAATAGTGCGCAAAGTAGCACTATCGACAAATCAAAAGTCCCGGCTTCATCTCGGTCTGAATATGAAACAATTGATTCGGTGACCGCCTCGCTGAACGCAGGGACGTCGAAGCGTGTTACCTTGAGTCCAACACTGATGGCAAAAGCTCAGAAGAAATCACATCTACGCCCTGATGCACTCAATGTGAAATCTCCATCAATTGCAGAAATTGCGCATGTTAATTATAAACCAACCGTGACGATTATTAAGCAAAACTCTATCAAATCTCCGTTGACAGTTCAAGAACCAGTTCGCTCATCGCTAGAATTACCGCCTGCATTAAAGGCACAGTTATACCGTGAGCCAGTTTCACTACTGCACAAGCCAGCCACACCTCCAGCTATAGTTCCAGGATCTCATAAAGCTAATAACCGATCAGCTACTCCGGAACTATTAGCACATGAGGCTGAATATTTTCCAGGCTCTGACCTCTCCCTTCCAATTTACGGAAGCGCAGGTGTGTTAATAGTGGAGCGGCCGATCTTAAAATACGAACGTGCTTACTCGGACGGATGCAAATATGTAGAACTGCCATCGGATTCAGACACGGACGATGAGGAAGATGATCGTATTTGGAACATGCGTCGTCAGATCGCACTTTTGAAGGACAAGCTCGTCACAGTTGAGTGTATTCTAATGAAATACTGCGGCAATTCGCGTGTAGTGATCAAAAAGCTAAAACGCTATCTGCGAAAACAGCAAGCAGATGAACCATTCGTTCTCGGGAATCTAAAAAAATAATGTAGTTTTTTCGCGTATTTTAGTTTTCTGTTCTATTTAAATTAAATGTTTTCATTAAACAAATGTTTTCTTTTTTTATGTTAGTGTGACCAGTAGTCCAATCTATATTGAGTTCTGTTGTTTTTTTTTTAGTATTTGACTGAACAGTGTGGCTAGCGTCAATATTATTCTAAATACTAATTGTAACTACTAATTAGCACGAAATACAAAATACCAAGTTTTTATTGTAATAGAACCCAGCGCTGAAATCGTGGAAATCGTAATGAGATCAGCTCCAGGCAAAATATAAACGCGCCAAACATTAGTCCAATCAGCATTAGCACAAATACAATGTATAGTTCATGGAGACCGAATGTTCTGAAGTTGTTCTCCTGCGTGTCTCGTAAATAGCGATCGTCCAGCTCCCAGCGCTCCCAGATTGCCAGCAGGCCTCCAGAACGCATCCACATGATTTCCTCGTTGAAAGCATCGATCAGAAAGGAATGTTTTCTTAGGTACATGGTCATCTGCAGGTCGATCACATCCTGCGCTATGATCTCGAATTGATTTACCGTCCGCTCCTGAATTGGCTCTTTATTATTGTAGACACTCAACTGATTATACAGGAGAAATAAATCTAGCACAGTGGCTGCCACCTGCCTCTTGTCCCGTTGATTTTGCGCTAGGTAATGCAAAGGATTCATTTCAGATCCGTCCCCATCGACCACTCGGAATCGCATCTGTTGCACAAGAGGTATTTCAGAAAGTACCTCATTAATTCCAGTTGAAAGCACCACTTCATAGTTGTGAGCCACCAGCTCTTCGATGGACTGGGGTAGCCGGCTCAGCATGCGTGTGCGTATCAAATGGTAAAGCATGCCCTGGTACATGGTGCGTATGAGCAACGTGTAGAGAATTAACGCTATGGAGTAAACGCGCTTCGCAATAGAGCGCGGCATCTGTAGCATAGGCATGCCCACAAAAATCAACAACAGATTGAGCAAGAGACAACCTTGTTGCCTAAGCACCAGTAGCCGATCCATAGTTAATTGCATCACAAGCGAAAGAGTGAGCACAACGCCAATTGCCAGCCAAATGGATGTGCGAAATGGAAAGAGTAGAATATCTAAGGAGGTCAGCTCGTAGGTGACACCCAAGACGCCAAAACGGACGGTTGTCTGGAGATAGTTATGTGTAGATGTACCCAACAGACTGCGTTCTACCGTCTGGCGAATGCCACCCACACATATATCGGCTTGATTACTGTTCAGCTATAAAAAAAAAAAATTTAGAAAGAAAGAAGGCCAGAATTATCAAAATTCACCATTTGGAGTAGTCTGTTGGTCTGGTATTCTGTCCCAACCGGTATCTGTTGCACATGGATGCTTAAATTGAGTCTTTCAATAAACGTCTGCAAAATACGGCCCTCAATGCCGCCTAGAATGCGAATATCCGATCCAGTTCCCTCTAGCTAGATGTACGGCGGCAAATGCTGCAGAGCAGCGCGCACATGGCAACCGAAAAAGTTGCCCAACTTACGGGGAAAGAGCTCTGGTTCGAGCATATGGCTGCCATTGTAACGATTGATCAGCTGTGGCGTCGTATCAGCACAGCTCTGGGGTCCAAATGGCAGATATGTGTACAACTGGATATCTCCATTGGATCTCTGCACCTGGATGTTGCAATTGATGAGCTGATGGCGCCAGCAATGCTCGAAGATACGACGCATCTCCCTCAGCAGTAAGTGGTCGCGAGCTTGCAGGAAAATGTAATAGTACTCATTGTAATTGTATTCCTTGGAATGAGCCTCCACCTCAATCTCCGCAAAGGCTGCGTAGGAGTCCGTGAATATCAGATTGTAATGCCTGCGGCCCGGAATAAATTGTCGCAGCATGCCCTGCTCCACAGTGACAATCTGGAGTGGAGCTATGCCCCAGTCACGAAAAAGTACACTCATCATCTCGTTGTAGAAGTTGCAGGTATGATTATTGCGGCAGCAGAGGGTCAGCACCAGCGACGGCGTCACGCTCATAATGTGGATGTGCACCACGTAAAGCAAGGATCGTGCCACATACTCATTGATTTGATTCATCTGCTCCCCAGACAAATCCTGATACGACTGAAACAGCTGTGATATGTTCATTTCCTTGTCGATTATAAAGCTTAAATGATTGTACAAATGGCGTTGAGTCCGAGCTGAAGTCTTAAAGCGTGGCAAAAGTTTTGTTTGTCTTTTATCATTAATTGAGCTGTAAGTGATTTATGATTAATGATGCCCGGTGGAACTGTAGTTGAGGAAATAGTTGATACTTATGTTCGTTTTGTTATGATTTTTCTTCATTTCTCTTCATTCTTTGCCGTCGTTTTATTCATTGCACTCAATTGAGTTTATTTAACAGTTATATTCGAAAATTTTATTTGCGGTTCAAGTGCAGCCAACTTAAGTCTCAGAATTTTAGTGCTGCCACATCTTTCAAAAGCAACTGCCACGGTTACCGCCGTCAAATTCAAATCAATCTTTCTAGAGAAAAGTTGTGTGGACAACAAAAAGGTCAGTTTTTCAAATTTATTCATTATCTCAAGAAATCTTGACATCATTATGGTTTGGTTATGGTCAAACTGGTTCAAAGCTTTGTTTATCTTTTACATTATTTACCAACTGCAAGTGTTTGATAATGAACGTGGTATTGGCTAAGTAAATATTCATTACATGTTGTTTGTCGTGGGTCAATTTCAATAATTGATTACTTTATATTTGCATTTATTAAGTAAATCCATTATTTTTTTAAGCTACTTTTCGCAGCCAACTTAATATTAAGTTCAGTTTCAGTGCTGCCAGATAGTAAAAGTAAAAACTATTAAATGTTAAAAAAAACATTTAAATTTGATTAAAAATTACTATTTTTTTTTTTTCAAGGTAAGGCCCATTTAAAAAATGAATAGAAATCGTAGTCAATTTTATTATTTATAACTTTCTGACTTAAAGCAAACGCTGCACCATCTTTCGCTTGGTCAGCCGATGGCAAAGGAGCTCAGCACAAAAAATCAATATGGAGAGAGCATAGAGAGTTCCAATCAGGCTGTAGATGCCGATTAGCTGACGCAACTGTTCATTCTGTCTTTCCACTTGCTGATCGTCCTGCATCTGGGACAGACTGCGTTGTTGCACAGTCCGGCGGCTGTATTCGGCGAAGGCGGCGCGACGCCAAAAGTCAATGCAGCCGCTAGCATCCAGATGGCGCAGCATATCGTTGAACAGTTCCTTGAAATACGAGTGCTTGGGCATATAGATGACCACCTGCTGCAGATTGATGTACTGGGAGAGAATGTGATAGCTGTTCTGACGATTAGTTGCGCTCAAATGGGCAGTGGCCGGATCCAGGCCGGTGATTGCAAAATACCGACCATCGCCCATCTGATGCAGTGTATCCAGCACGGCCTCGTCGAAGGGCGATGGGATGCTAATGTAGTTTTCATAACTATGCGCCGCCTGCGGCATCTCGCGCAGCATACCTAAGATGTTCGATGTGCACATGCCACGAAAATTGCTCTCCAAGAGCTGTTCAAACGAATCCGGCAGCTGCTCGAACAGCTGCAGACGTATGAAATGGAATAGCAGCGACTGATAGACCACACGCAATGGGATGCTGCCATAGAGCCAATGGGCGTAGATGACACGTTGCAGCCAGGATCGTGGCAGACGCACCAACGTTACGCCCAATAGCAGCTCCAACACCTGCAGGCCGATTGGACGCCAGCGCCACATATAGATCAGGCCATGCAGCACCACAGCCACCAGCAGCAGCAACCAGACGCCGCTCTGAAATGGAAAATACAGCAAAGTGAGTTGGCCAAAGCGAAAGTGTTTAATGGCCACGGTGGCAACCAGCGGAGCATAATAGTGAGCCATGGGCGAGGTGAGGATGCGATTGCGACCAGGTGTCTTGCGAAAGTTGCCCACGCTCAGATTAGCATGTCGCTTCATCAGCTGAAAGGGAGAGACAAAGAGCGAGACAGAGATAGTAGTCAATAGAGTTGGGCCGAGGCTGATATTCATACACACCAGCTCCAGTGGTCCCATCGGTCGGCGCCCATTGCCCCAGTTCTTTTGATAGCTGGCGATGGTCTCGAGCGTTACATTGTATAGGATCAAGCTGCAATTGAGATGCTGTGCCATCTGCTTAACCAGTGTAATCTCGAAGCCAATGGCGTCTAGCTGCCCCGCCTGATCATCCCAGTTCAGCTCGACAAAGGGCGGCGAGTTCCAGACGACCACGGTGAGCGGACACTGATGTAGCTGTTGCAGCTTGTCCGGAAACATGGTGGCATGGAGCATGCGCTGACCATCAAAGCGATTCACCAGCTGCGGCTGTGCGGACTGACAGCGTTCCGAGGTATATGGATAATAGCTATATATGAGCACCTCCATCTGGGCTGTCTGCACCATCACGTTGCAGTGCAGCCAAAAATTGTTGAGGCAATGGTCCAGGATTTGCTGCAGCTCATACGGAATGTTCGCATCGCGCGTCTGTAGGAAGATGAAATAATACTCGTGATCATCGTAGCCAGCATTATCCTCAGTGATCTGCGTGGAGCTGCAAGGGATGTGGGAGTTATTTAAATATTGCTTCGATTCGAATCGGATCTGAAGTGCCTCACAGCAATGCCTGATAGGAGTCCACCAGCAATAGATTGCAATACTTGCGTCCGGGCACATGGGGCAAATGGTTGACATGCAGCATCTGCACGGAGACTGACTCCCAGGCGCTAGCCAGATCGCCCACTACATTCTCGAACCATTTGTCAATCTTCACCTCGGTGGTGGCGAGTGTTATTACCAGCGTCGTACTGAGCTGTGCGAACACATCCTGGATGACATGCTTCAGTGCACGGACCACATATTGATTTGCGTCTTCCGCCTGGATGCCAATCAGCTTGCTATCCAGGTAGCTGGCGTAGATCCTGCTCCCGTTCATATTCTGCTCAACTTGCTCCGGCGACTGCTTCAAACGAACTACCACAAAGTCAGATAAAACGTCTATCACCGTTCAGATAATATCAAAAGGTAAATTTCTATGCGAGCCTAATTAAACACAAACAATTACCGTTATGAGTTCTTATTGTGCCCAACTAAATGTACCAAAGTATTTGGTACATTAGGTACATACCATGACCATGACCATGGAAGCCAATATATCTACAATTTGTACTCTACTTTCCAGTTCTTCCAATGAGACAAGGTATTTGCCTGTCTTTGTCCTGGCCATTGCTTCTATGTCTATATCAATAAAAATTAATAAGCACACATACATGTCTTCGCATTTCCCTTGTTATATGCTACCTAAACAAACATCATTTCTTATCACGGACAAGTGTTGTTAAATGCACAAATTTGGAGTAGCCAAATTTTCATTTAGGCCTAAAATTGTTGTATAGCCAAACTTTAACGAATGCCTTTAAATGTTAATTAATATAATTGATATATTTTTTAAGCACCAGATGACCTTCTATAATATATAACTGTTTTTTTAAAGTATTAGTTTGCATTTAAAAGTGGCGCCAAATTGCGGCGTTGCCATGTGCATTAAGCGAGCATAGTTAAGGCATCTGGCAGCACTTTATAAGCAAACAGCCTTGCCAGACAATCGCATAGCCACCCGCTCCTCCGCCTGCAGACAAAAAAAAACAGAAGTGAACAATTCTCCATTTATTTATCTTATCGCCGCATCTGCATTCTTCGACCAAGATCATTACTGGAGGCAATACACGAGATAACACTGCATTAGGACTATATTTTGCAATACAACAACAAGAACAACAATGCTGAAAATTGCAGCGGAGGGAATTGCGCCACGCCTGGCGGCCTGTTGTCTTATCAACAGCAGTGCACAGAGCAGCTGCCAACGGATAGCGCCACAGGCAGCCAAAGCCACACAAAAGTACCTCTCACAGTCCCAAATGCACTACAAAAAGCTGGTGATCAAGGATCATTACGATTTTGATCAGAAGGTGAGCCACAGCAACTACCTCTATTTACATTTGTGTACACTTGCACACAGACACAGACACACGCATACTTGCATATATGCATAAGCATACAGATGCAAGTGTTGTTGTAGCATTATGCAATGCTCTATTCGACTGGTTGTTGGCCAATTGGCGTACGTGAGCGGTTCCGGCCGTAACCCATGACGCATTTCGGCTATTTGTGTGCGCTGCGTACTATAATACCCTGTAAACAAATTGCTGGCAACGATGGGGACTCGTTGCCACCTCGCCCACAAATGTACCAAAAAAGGTACATTGATGTGCATTGGTACACTAGTTGGCACATCGTGTACAAATGCTAAAATTTCTGAATTTGGTACAAACTTAAGCTGAAAATATATGAAAAACTTCTGGTAAACGAAATAATTATATTTGAATAAAAGGCAATACATACAATACAGGGCATCTGCTAGTCGACTCCCGCACCACGATTAGCTTGGCCTATGCGTATGCGCGTGTATGCAAATAAGGTAGAACCACTCGGTTTGACCAGACAAAATACATAAATACATAAACGTGAATGGTTTGTTTTTGTTTTTTATCTGAGTTTTGGTTTTTTTCTTTATCTGTTCGCAGGTCATCAACAGCGACAATCCGGTGATTGTGAACTTCCATGCGGAATGGTGCGATCCGTGCAAAATACTGACACCCAAAATGTTGGAGCTTTTGGAGAACTCGAATGAAATCGATTTGGCCATTATCGATGTGGAGGCCAATTTGGATTTGGTCGAAACGTTTGAAGTGAAGGCCGTGCCAGCGGTTCTAGCCTTCCGCAACGGCGTCGTTGTGGACAAGTTCATCGGCCTGGTGGACGCCAACAGCATAGAGACGCTAATCGACAAACTGAAGCGCAAGCAGCAGCAGAAGAATCAATAGAACTCACAGTGCAGCAGCAGCAGCAGCAACTTTTTTAAGATATTAATGTATTTGCGGCCTTATGAATTTAATTGGTGCACGGCACGACGGGGTTTACGGCAGGGCACACACACCACACTTTAGTAATTATGATTATGATAATGATAATGATGCGATTGATTGATGAATTGATACTGATTAAATGTATAATGAGAACTTAGCCATTAAGCAATGCTCAATAAATCTTGTACAGTCAAAAGCAGCCAACGTTTGTGTCAGCTTTGGCTAAGAACTAAGTTTTTCTATACGTATATATGTTGGACGGACATAGAGTCTTTAAACATATAATTATGGAGCTAGATTGCCATAGCACAACTGAATTATGCCAAGAGTTCGATATCTTACAGATACTTTGTGTACTGTCTAGATACTATGTATCTTGTAGATACTGTATGTGCTCCATAGATACTATATAGCCTATAGATACATTATGTACTCTAAAGATATTATATATCTTTTAGGTACTTTATGTACTCTATAGATACTATACACCTCACAGATACTTTGCGTACTAAATAGATACTATATATTTATAGATATTTTATGTGTTCTATAGGTAGTATATAGCATTAGATACTTTACGTACAATAAAGATACTATCTATCCTACAGATACTTTTTGTACTCTATAGAAAATATATTTTAGATACTTTACGTACTCTATAGATACTGTATATCCCATAGATACACTATGCACTCTATAGATACTATGTCTTACAGATACCATAAAGAACGATAGCCAATAAACATATTTTTACAAAGTTTGACAACTCTATTATTGTTAAATATATTAAACAGTAAACAAAACGAATAGTTAAATCTGATTTTCGGGCAGCTCAAGCCGTATATCAAATTTGTATATATAGATTTAGATATATGGAAATATTGTGTATATTTTGTTTCAGTTTTTATCTTTTGGTTTTGTTTTTTGTCTTATTACAGTTAGAATAACGAATTGGTTGTTTGCCGTAAGCATTTTTGTAACTTTAGCTATGCCTTATACCATATTTAATAATAGTAGAAAAATCGTTTCAACAAGAGGCCAGCAGAAATGTGTAGAGAAGGGGAAACAGATTGAATACAATTTGTGTGTGTCGTTGTTGACTTTTGATAGAGCAGTTATTACTATATAGACATATATATATATATAGATCCAATGTAAAATTGACGATAAGAAACACAAAATTAAAATTAAAAAAAAAAACGAACAAACTTAAGCGTTAACAACGTGAAAATTTTGGTTTTGTTTTGCTTTGCTTAACAATTTGCTAGGTTTGGGGCTCTGAGGGGTAGGTAGAGGGGGGTAAAAGGGGATTGGAGGGATATATATTTATATATATAATAATAATTAGAATAATAATATTAACATGGCAAAGCGTGCAAAGCTCTCCTCTCTCTCTCTCTCTCTCTCTCTCTCTCGCTTCAATTTGCATTTGCAAGTCTTGCCATATCGTAAAAAATGTAGGCGTTTGATTTTTGGGGTAGGCGTGGCCGTTAGCGCGCCAGCTGTATGATGAGTGCGGCGCACATCTCAAAGAACTCCATCGTATGGTGTCCAGTGGGCTGCAAGGGCATCGCGCCGCTCACACTCAATGGCGGCGGCGTTAGGCTCTCCATGATGACATCGTCGCCCTGTTCGACCTCGTCGTTGGTCAGCGATTTGAAATCGAGCAGATAGCTCTTAGGATCCACTTGGTAGAGCTGCAGCGACATCTTTGAGAATTTGCCAGTCTTCACGTTCTGTCGCCGGACACGCACATGATATGGATTGATGATCTTCCACTCATAGTTGAGAGCCTTCATGGCCCGATACACTTCGAGCATGATGTCATTCGGCTTGCTCTGCGATCGTATGCCCAGATGCCATTTGGCACGCTTAATAGGCGTGCCGCCGCGTGCTGTCTTCTCCGGAAAGGCGGCGCCGCCCGTATTCTGCACGGACATGGCCAGCTGGCGTTCACGCATCGGCGCTATACGCTCCGGATGCATTCGTATGGTGGGCGTTGCACTGCTTGCCAAGCCGCTGGGCGTGGCTGTGCCAGAGCTGGCCGCCGTGCCGCCACCGATGGTAACAGTGGCGCCCGCTCCCTGTGCTCCCGACTCTTGGACGCTGGAGCGCGGCTCGTGCGGCGAATGGGCCATGGGCGGCGGCGGCGAGCCGGCCACAAAGAAATTGTTGATCTCGCTTATCTGTGTGGCGGCATCGTCCGCGAAGCGTTTGTTGTCAATGATGAGATGGTAGGCGATGGCCAGCTGATCGTGCGGATCGCCGCTGAGCAGCGAATTGTGCACCTCGGACTCCTTGACGCCAAACTTGGTGCAGACCTCGGCCACGGCGTACGTGTCGATGACATTCGAGTCCTGCTCAATAGACGAGGGGAAGAGATAGGCGGGCAAATCCTTTTGGAACCACTCGTGCTTCTTGATCTCCTCGATGGTGGCGCGCTTCAGCGGATCCACCTGCAGCATCTGGCAGACCAAGTTCACCACCTGCTTGTTAAGGTACTCCGGTATGGGAAAGATGCCCGATTTGATTTTGCGAAACAGCGACGGCACATGCTCGTCGTCGAATGGCAGTGTGCCGCAGAGCAGTGCATAGAGGATGACACCACATGACCAGATGTCCACTTCCGGTCCGGCATACAGTTTACCCGAAATGACCTCCGGCGCTGCATAGTTGGGTGAGCCGCACGACGTGCGCAAGAACTCGCCGTCGAGCATCATGTTGGACAGGCCAAAGTCGGCGATCTTCACGTGCATATTGTGATCGAGCAACAGGTTCTCCGGCTTCAGATCGCGATGCACTATCATATGCCTGTGGCAATAGTCCACGCCAGATATGATCTGCTGGAAGAAGCGACGCGCCTGATGCTCCTGCAGCTTGCCATGCTTCACAATGTAATCAAATAGCTCCCCGCCGCTCACATACTCCATGATCATGAATATATCCGATGGTGTGGAGATGACCTGCAGAAGTACGGAAAGAGAGGTTGAGCGATAGAAATTTAGCAAATGGATTTAATGAAAGCGTATGAGATCGCGAGATGTAAGACTCAAAGTTTTTTTTTATCGATTACATGACTATTCTATTAATCTGTCAATCAATCAATCAATTAGTCTGTCAATCAATCAATTAGTCTGTCTGTCAATCAATCAATCAATCAATTAGTCAGTCATTCGATAGGTTAGTCAATCAGATTGTAAGCTTACTAGCAGTCAATCAATCAATCAGTTACTTAATTAAATCTAGTCAATCAATCAATCATTCATTCGTTAAGTTAAACAATCGACTAGTCAATCAGTCAATTGAGAGCTACACAAGATTACGTAGTCATCAGTCTACAAACTGACTATCAATCACTATCAATCATTGACTGTCAGCCAGCCAATTGCCTCATCAAGCAAGGCACTCAATGTCAACAAGAGTTATTGTTTATTATTTGTGCCCCATATATTTTCTAATTGTTGACAGACTCTGGGATGGAATGATAAACAAGCGCAGCGGTCTCAGCATCGATTCCATTTACATTTATGAAATTGGAAGAATTATGGTTTACTTCTAGCTATATCATTTGCTTAGTCAGTTTTAAATATAAAACACAATAAAGCGTACAGTTTAAGCGCCATTGGTTCAACTATATGGAACATCTCGCGGCTTTGGCGCTATCGATCTTTAAAAGATAAAGAGTGAGAATTATCGCTCATATTACAAAATGAAGTAACTTTTCATTGTTACCGTTATAGCTGTTTCATGTTTGAGTAGAATTGCTAAGACAATTAACTGTATTTCTGAACGATCACAGTTGCAGAGCCCTTCTCGACCTACAGTTTTGGGAGCATTGTACGATTACAGTTGGAGGGTCAGTGCTTTGAAGCAAAACAAAATAACGCTCAAGTGTTACAGTTTGAGTGCAGCTGCTTGAGGCATACAGCTGACAAGGGGTATGGGTGGGAGAGGGCTCGGTGTATATTGCTCACCTGGTATAGCTTGATGATGTGCGGATGACGGAAAAGTTTCAAATTTTGGATTTCACGTTTGATTTTGGATACAACATCGAGACTCTTGATCTTTTGGCGATTGAGAATCTTGACGGCGACCTTGAGCCGCGTAATTTGATGTTCGCCAATCTTCACCTTGCCGAAGGTGCCCGTGCCGAGCGTCGCGCCCAACAGATAGTGGCCAATCTTGACAAGCGGTTGGGCACCGGCGCTGCCAGCAGCGGCCGCTTCAGCGGCAGCGGCCCTCAACTGTGGCATCTTTGGATGCAGCAGCAGCAGCAGCGATGTTTATCGATGTGTATGTGTGTCGTCGTCGCCGTCGTCGTAATCGTTATCGTTATGATTTCCAATGCAATTGGATTGCAATTATCCTCTTATTGTGTATTTGGGATTGTATTCCGCTTGTCCCGCCGTTTTCACACAATAGGCAAGGTCGTCGCTGAACAATTTTTTATTGCGTATTCCGTTTTCAGAGGCATTGGCGAAAATATGTAGTTGGCCCTCGACTGGCCGACGGACTGCGTTGCGCTGCCTCCGACTGAACGCACTCGCTGCGTCTGTATACGCTTAGCACTCGTGCATATATATAAGTATAGAAGCCCAGTCACGTTTCTAGCTTTGTATTTATTGGTCCTGCTATTGTTTTTTTTTTTCTGTTCTTTCGTTGCGTTAGTTTTTCTTTATTTTTTTCTTTCGTTAATTGCCTTTATTGGAATGTGTGCTGGTATTTTCCACACGGTATTTTCCACTGTCAGCCAGTGTGCCCACATGCATAAAACTGACAATTGACACCACTGAGCTGTTAGCAACTGAAGATGTCTGTTATTTAACATAACAGCGCAATGGGCGCGAAATTTAAACAGCGGGAAGCCAAAGTTAATTATAAGACAGGAAATGAAAATCGTGTTATTTTTTGTTGGTTGCTTGAAACACATTTATTACACGTACTTGTAGTAGGTTTCAGTTTGACACATGCAAAATAATACATACATCAATTTCTTGTCATTTTAATGAAAAAGAAAAACCGATTTCAGTTATCCTTCTTTTGTATAGACATCAATTTTCGCTTGTAAATAAAGTGTATTGTATACAATTACATACATTCAATATATGTATATGTATATGTATATATATTTATATATATATATATATATATATATATATATATATATATAGATATATATATAGATATATGGATTTCTAGCGACATTCATTTTTGTATACATATATATATATATATCCTGTAGAAAGTTCTTGTTCTATGCAGCTGCTGCTAATTACAAATTTTACCTATTTACTATATATAGAGAGAAAAAAAAACGTTTGCTTTGCTTATTATCCAAGTTCATATTACATACATTAGTTACACTTAGAGGTATAAGCATAAAGTACTTATAACTTAGTTTTATTCTTTTGTAAGCCCCATGTTTGACTTGACTGTACCTGTATATATGTAGATCTAGCTAACTCTTTCTATCCATGCTTGCTGTCTCGCTCATTTGTATGCTCTATGCGGACGCCATTTTGTTTTAGTGTAACTACTCTCTGGCTAGCTTTCTCTCTCACACTCTCTTCTCCGTATAAAAAGTTTGTTTATGTACAGTTTCTTTTTTTTTTTTTTTTTTTTTTTTAGCCTAACTCCTAATTTCTTTTGCTTATTTTTATTATTTTTAGTACAGTTTTAGTTTATTTTGTTTTTTTTTTATTCATTTCCTTTAAATTTAGATTGGTTTTTTGTTGTTTGCAAAAAAATTGATCTTAACTATTGTAATGCTATTAGACTAGTTTTTAAAAGTTATTCAAAAAAAAAAGAAGTCAGTTTATATCAAATTGTTTTTTGTTGTTTTTACACTCTTTCGTTATGCTTTTGCTTTGTAATAATATAAATATATATATTTATAAATATATATAGATATAGATTTGCTGTCTGTCTCACCACGTTTACAAATTCGTAGGTTCAAATTCATCAATCAGCATTTGATTAAAAGCCTTTTATATATACATATAGACATATCGATATATATAATATTATAATTTACACACATCACTATCTTTTTGTTGCTGTTTCGTACATCAATATATATCTCTATATATATACATCAATTTAAATAATATATGCATATATAAATATATATATATTTTTCTATATTTCTTTTTTAGTCTAGTTTTTATTTGCATTTCTCATTGCATTATTTATTTTGTGTTTCCATACAAATTCATAGCAATTGGTCTGTGTATTGTACTGTGTGTGTGTGTGTATGTGTGTTTGTGTGTATTTTTTGGCTTTCATAATTTTACAGCCTGTGCGCACATTTGCTACAAAACAAAATTCGTTTTAGCTAGCCAAATTTGAACAAAATTATAAATTTATAAATCATTTAGTGCTAAACAATATCAAAATGTGTGTGTGCGTGTGTGTGTGTATTTCCATAAATATTTTATAAGCTCATGTGTAAACGTATTTGCTTGAGTTTGTCTAGAGTGTTTTGCTCTGCTTCTTTGTGTCTTGCTGCCAATTGCTATTCAGTTGAGTTTCTTGTACATACACACATATATATATATATATAGTTAAATACATATATAAATATACATATATATATAAATTGGTAATCTATGCCCATGTTCCAAGCATATCTCATTACAGCCACATCTTTAAAATGTTTTGTTTTAGTTCAATTTCCATTTCTCGATTTCGAATTCGATTTTGTATATATAAATAAATATATATATATCTATTTTAATATATGCTTATATACATATACTCATAAATATATATATATATATAATCTGAAGCACATATCATGTCTATAGTTTCTGCTTCCTTACATTCAGCATATAGATTCGTTTTGGTTTTGGTTTTAACCTAACAACAACAACTACAGCAACAACGATAACAACAACGAGTATATTAAAGATGTAGAAACTGTTTTTCCTTTAAGTTTTCTTTAGCTTTTTTCGCCGCTTTTCATTTTACATATGTACACGTCTTTCCGTTTAGTTAGCGCCACCGCCTTCACGCCTGTCGTCACTTTGCTCCAACTCCTCTGCCTCTGCCTTTGCCTCATCGTCGGCTTCTGCCGTAACATTTTCTGCCGGCACTTCCTCTTCTGCCTGTGCCTCATCATCTTCTTCTTCTTCTTCTGGTTCTGTTTGCTCTTCTTCATCTGTCTCTGTTTGCGACTCCTCTTCCTCTTCCTCTTCCTCTTGTTGTTGCGCAGCAGCGCGTGCTTGTGCCATCGCATATGCTGCCGCCTGTGTGTGCGCTATGGCAGCTGCAGCTGCAGCCGCGGCCGCTGTGGCTGCTGCCGCTGCCACTTCGGCTGGTGTGGCATACTTGAACTCGACATAGACCACGCCCATTGCACACATTTGACTCGCATCGGGATCATAATTGGCAATACTTGAATTCGTATAATGATAATAGCCGCAGCTGATCCCATACATTGCAGTGGTTGTTGTCGTCGTAGTTGTCGTTGGCCCAACATAGGGCACATACTGAGCGGGAACTAGAGCATAGGGTGTGGGCACCAAATAGCCATTGCTATTCAGCGCATAAACAGGCCGCAAAGCAGAGACGGGCACAGGAAGCAGCTGGATCGCTTGTGGTTGAGTTTGAAGTTGAGGCTGTTGCTGTGCGAATTGTGGTTGTGGTTGTTGTTCAGGGAACTGTTGAGGCGGCTGCTGCTGTACGTAATGTATCGGTTGCTGCAGTTGCAGCATTTGCTCTAGCTGTTGTGGCAGTTGCTCCAAGTCTTCTTGCAGTTGCTGCTGTGTTTGAAAGTCCTGCTGCAGCCATTGTTGCTGTGGTGGGAAGTCCTGCTGCAGCGATTGTTGTGGTAGCATTGCTTCCTGGGTTATCAACTGCATCTCTTGCCAATCATTTTGTTGCTGTGGAACAAACAATTGTTGCTGTTGCGGCAATCGTTCCTGTGAAACAAACAATTGTTGCTGTTGCGGCAATCGCTCCTGTGGAACAAACATTTGTTGCACTCGCTCGTAAAGCTCTTGTGATGGAGTTTGCTCTGGCTCTTGCAACAATTGCTGTTGTTGTCGCTGCCGCGGAGGCGGCTGTTGCTGCTGTTGTTGTCGCTGCCGCGGAGGCGGTTGATGTTGCTGCTGTTGTCGCTGCTGCGGAGGCGGTTGATGTTGCTGCTGTTGTTGTCGCTGCCGCGGAGGCGGTTGTTGCTGCTGTTGTCGCTGCCGCGGAGGCGGTTGATGTTGCTGCTGCTGTCGCCGTTGCTGTTGTGGCAGTGTCTGTTGTTGCTGTGGCTGATATCGACGCTGTTGCTGCTGCTGCTGCTGCTGCTGTGGCAGTTGCTGTTGCGGCAGGTATTGTTGTCGACGCTGCTGCTGCTGTGGCATTTGTTGTTGATGTTGTCGATGGGACTGTTGTGGCAGTTGCTGCCGCCGTTGCTGTGGCCATTGTTGTCGGAACCGCTGTTGCTGCTGCTGCTGCTGCTGCTGTTGTTGTCTTACATACGTGTTGGCGGTGACATTACTATTTGTATTTGTATGATTGGCTCTTGTTGTTGTTACAGTTGTTGCTGCAGGTCTGGTGGTTGCTGAGGCAACAGAACTTGCTGCTGCAACAGAAGTTGTTGCTACTGCTGCAGTTAATGTTGTTGTTGCCTGTGCAACTGGTGTTGTTGCTGCTGCAGGTGCAGCTGGAGCTGCTGCTTGTGTTACCGTTACAGCTTCAGCTGTTTCAATGCTTAATGTTGCACTTGTCGTGCTGTAGGTTGCAGCTGCGCTAGCTGCTGTTGTGCCTGCCGCAGCTGCTACAGTTGCTGAAGCATTGCTATTGCTGTGTAATGTTAATATTGTTGTTCTTGTTGTATTAATGATTGTTGTTGTTGTTGTTGTTGCTGTTGTTGCAGGTGCTGATGCTGCTGATGAGGTTGTTGTAGCTGTTGTTGTGGTTGAATTACTGTATTTGAAGTTACTGTTGTTGTTGATGCTGCCAGTGCTGTGGGGTTGTTGTTGGCCATTGCCGCTGCCGCTGCCGCCGCTGCCGTTGTGGCTGTGGCTGATGCTGCTGCTGCTGTTGCTGTTGCTGCTGCTGCTGCCGACGACGTGGGAGCCGGTGCAGTTACAACTGCAACGCTTTTGCCGACGCACAGGTGGGGCTGCTGCTGCTGCTGCTGGCGCAGAAGCAGACATCGCTGCTGCTGCTGCCGCTGCAGCTGCAGCTGCAGCCGCTCTGCTTGTGGTCGGGGCATTGGCATTATAGTGATTGGCAATGGCAGCATGAACACTTCACCTGTGAGATGCAGCTAATATTGTGTAAAGAAATTAATTTTGTTTTAAATAAATTTCTGTGCATGGTTATATGGATGCGGTTTTTGAGATCGTGTTGTTCTATTTGATCTACCTCTGTGTGCCATATTGTGGTGATAGCCGCCGACGCCGCCGCCGCCGCCGCCGACAACCCCGCCACCGCCATGCATCGGCTGTGGGAGACCGACACCGACACCGACGCCGACACCGACACCGATCCCGCCGCCACCTCCGTGTGGATGATGATGCAACTGTTGCATGTGGTGGTGCGGCGGTGGTGGCAAACTGTGATGTTGATGATGATGCTGCTGTTGATGTTGCTGATGGTGTTGCTGATGGTGCTGCTGATGGTGCTGCTGTTGTTGATGATGCATCTGCTGCTGATGATGCGGCGCCTGCTGCTGCATATGGGCATTCATGTGATGCGGCAGGGGCTGCTGCTGCTGCCCCATATGCGGCCCGCCACTTATTTGTGACATAAATTGCGCAGCCTTCGCCTTGCCGTGCTCCTCAGCCAGGCGCACCCAAATCGGCTGGGAGCCGCCCTCCGGCACTGTGTTGTTTAGTGCCTTGATTGCTTCCTGCGCCTCCTCGCGCTTGTTATAACTGCATTAAGAGAGACAACCGTAGCATGAGCAAATGTATTCCAAAATATAGAAGAGTTCAAAAAACTTTTGATTGACGGATGATTGATCAATAGAAAAGTCAACTTGCTTGTTACAACTGCATTAAGAGAGACAACCACAGCATGAGCATGAGAATTCCAAAATATAGGAAAGAAAAGAACTAGTAGTTCAAAAAACTTTTGATTGACGGATGATTGAGCAATACAAAAGTCAACTTTTGTAAGTTAACTTAAAACTTCTTCGACAAAATTCATTAGGCAAAACTGAACAGTTAAGAGTGCTCGAGTTGGAGATACCCAGAACCACTGAACTGCTGCATACCTTGTACAGTTAAAAACTCTTCGGCTGACATTTGCTTGTTCCCGAAACTGAAGAGACATATGATAGAACGCTCCGATTGGAGTGAAGGAAGAGCTAAAGCTCAGGTCACAAAAAATTATTGTTGACAAGACTTTGGCTATTCATATTCGATTTCATTGCAACAAGCTTAACAAATGCACTTTGTCTTATAACTACAAATATGCAGCTATATACTATACGTCATTCATCCATTGCCAATAGATTCGGGGTATACAAAAGAAATTAACTTTTTGATTTAAATTTTGTAAAATTAACTAATGAAAACAATTTTGGTTCAAAAATGGCACCTTTGCTTTCCCTGTTGGGAAATGTCAAATCAAAGTGGGTATAATTCCAAGCAGATCTTCGGTTTATAATTGTAAATCAATAATGATTTAAATCAATCGGCCTTCAGCTAGTTAATATTAATAAAAATCGTAACAAACATTTTAAAATACAAATACAACTCATACATATAGGACATGACAATATTGCCATCATAGAAATATAGTTACCAGGGCACAATCTATCACAAGCATTTGAAGAATAAGCTTCTTAAGTTTCTAGCTAGCATACAATTTATAACTTATATTTAGGTAATTTAGTGACATCACAATATTGATGTCTATATGTAGTATATAGCATCTAGGGCTTTTATTATGTATGCTTGTTATCTGTTGAAGCTTACCGTACAAATGCAACGCCTCGTGGACGACCCGTTAGTTTATCCCGCAAAATATTACGTTGGACGATCAGCCCATAGGGAGAGAATATCCTATCCAGCTGATCATCGTTAATGTTGCGGGATAAATTGATCACGTACAGGTTAGTGTCCTTGATCGATTGCCCGCCAGGTCGTGCATAAGATACCTAATATAAAGCAGAGTTTAATTATAATTTTATGCAAATAAATCAAACATATCAACTAAACAGTTCGATTTGTTTAACTCTTATTTAACCTTCTTTTTCTTGATTGGACGCACCTTTAAGCGCTTATTGCGCACATAAAATCCATTAAGTTTTTGTATTGCCTCCTCGGAGTCCACCTCCGAGTTGTAGTCAACGAAGCCGTAGCCAAAGCTGTATCCCGTCTGCGAAAAAGAGATGGCAACAGTGCATTTCAGTTGTTTGAAATAGAGAGAGCGAGGGAGAGAGGTGATGCATGCATGCAGTGCATCAATGTGTGTATGCGTGTATGTGTGTGTGTGTGTATAACTCTGTGCGACAAGGACAGGCAGAGACTCGGGCCCGGACACAGCCTCTAGATACACATAATTTGATTTGCAGCTACTTCACTACCCCCACCCCGTCATCATCCTTGACCCCACTCAATATGCAACCCCTTGGCTTACCTTGTAGTCACGCATTATTTTGCATGTATTGATGGAACCGCAACTGCTGAACAAATTGTACAACTCACGATCTGTCATATCCTGTGGTAAATAGTTGATGATCAGATTCGTAGCACTTGTGCGATCTTCAGCAGTGGCGGCGGCAGCGGCTGATGCAGCACCAGCGGCCGCAGCTCCGCTGGTGTTGCTCTGTCTGTTCTGTTGCTGTTGTTGTGGCTGCTGCTGCTGTTGGCGTTGCTGCATTTGCTGCTGCTGTTGGGTAATGCCATCGTCATTGTTGTCTTCCTCGTCAGACTGATCTAGCTGCTGTTGTTGAGCCTGTTGTGCGTGCTGCTGCTGCAACTGCAGCTGTTGTTGTTGTTGTTGTTGCTGCTGCTGCTGCTGCTGCTGTATCAGTTTCTGATGTTTGCTCTTATTATCTGTAGTAGTTAGTTTTTTCTTTTTATCATTGGTTGCAGTGTCTTCGTCCTCGGTTTTGTCATCATCATCGTCATCGTCGTCGTCCTCGTCGTCATCATCATCATCATCATCGTCGTCATCGTCGTCGTCGTCGTCGTCGTCATCGTCGTCATCATCATCATCGCTATCAGCCTCCATGTCCTCGCCACCGTCCTGGCTATCAACCTCTTGCTTTATGGCATCGTCCGAATCCTTTCGAATACACAGAAACATTTACACATACATACATATATAAGCTGCATTTTTGATTTTGATTTTGATTTTGATTTTTTTTTTGCTTTTTCTCAACTTACCTTTTCTTCAATATCCGATCCTTCGTCGTCTTCTTCTTTATATTTTACCCGTTGCTTTTTATTGTCCGGCTTGGGCATGATTTGAAATCAATTTGCTGCTTCTTGCACCTTAAATATAAATATATATATATATATATACATATATACATATATATATATATATATGTATATATATGTATATATCTATATATATTTATACATATACTTATATATATTCATATACATATATATTTATATATATACATAGATATATATATTTATATTTTATTACAACTTTATTCTAGCTTCCTTGTTGCCTGCAATTTATAACAAATATCACTTAAATTCCACTCACAAAATTTACACAAAACAGAAAAAGTTTATGAAAATGAAAATTCAAAATTGAAAATGAAAAAAACAACGTGTGCTGTGAAAATTGTTGCAAGCTGCAGCTGAGCTGCAAAAATTAATGATTCCGCTCGATGCGCTGCAACAGTCCGTTATGCGTTATTGTTCAGACGTCACTGTGACAGGATAGAGTCGAGTGCACGTATTTTATGTATATTGAAACAGTTTTGCAAGGCTTCGGCTGCTGACGGGCTCGAGCTCGATTGTTCGGCATCCGGGACTCGCGACACGTATCCGGGGCCTGGCCTGGGCCTGGGCCTGGGCCTGGGCCTAGGCCAAGGCCGGGCCCCGGGCCCGGGTACCGGACGACGACCAACCGAATGCAGCAGCACCAACAAAAACTGAAGAGGTAATCAAATTCGGCTGCTGTTGCTGCTGCCTTTCGGGCTTAGAAACAACGCCGATTGCACTTTTGCGCATGTATGCGTGTCTCCCTCTCTCGCGCGCGCCCTCTCACTCTCTTTTTCTTACAATTTAGGAGTGTGTGTGTATAAATGTGTATGTGCGTATTTGTGTGTATGTGTATCTGTGCACTTGTGGCGTGTTAAAACATTAAATTAACAAATTTATGACACAACTACATTCAAATAGGGCGCAAATGTAAAACTATTGCGTGGAAGCGGCACTAAAAGCCGAAATGAAAAAAAAAAACACTATACCAGCACAAAAATTGAACACACATACACTCACACATGTACACAGCTAGTCTTTGGCGAGAAAAAAAAATTTGATATATGTATATATTCAAAGCCGTGTCCAATATTATAAAAAAAATGAGCTTCCTCTGTTGTTTTAAGCAGCATTTTCAATAAAACATATTTGTACTTACTAGAGCTGTACACTTGCACTAATTAAAAATTTAATTTTTTTTATTTTGCACTTTTTTCCCCCGTAAACGCTTTCAAAGCGGCGACTTCACAGCAATGTAGTGAGCATGTAAAAAAAATACACATCGATGTATCAACCATAGCGACAGCTTCAACACGATACTTTTCAAAGTATCGTTGATTTTCGAACGCGATATTATACATATCGATACGCTTTGGTATTTTTTATTATGCTTGGTTTATTTGAACTTAAATAAAAAAGTAAATAAATGCAGCATGTGAATAATAACTATCCCACAAGTTTTTATTTATTTTTAGTTAGCAATAATTTGCTATAAAAAATACCACAACTTAGCTAATATGTGTACCAATTCGTCAATCGATATTTCGGTATTATTAAATATATAAAATACCAAAAAAACAAACAAGCTAAGGAAATTTGTTGGCAATTGGGAAATTTAATAAATTTCAAATTGGATTTGAGTAATGCTTGTCTAATCAGCCACGACGGCTAACTTAGGCACATCAAAATATATACATGCATTTATAATGGCATTAATTAATGGAATGTAATTTGATATAGCCACACCAGCGTCAGTTATTGATTTTATTGATTTGTCCATTGTCACTTCAATCGGAAAGCTTAGAAACTTGCCATGTACATATTTAAAGTAGGCGCTGCCGCTGCTGTCAGTCGCAATTAGTTTGGCATTGAAATATTTACTGGTCCACTTGAAATTGTGGCTTTTGTTTGTTATGGCAGTTATGCTAGTACAAATAATTGATGCCCACCCACGCGCCCAACATTCAAAAATCATCGATTACGATTGTGTAACGCACGCACGCACACAGCAGCAGCTTAAGGAGAGGAAAAAAAACGAACGGGAAAAGTAAAAGTGCTGCCCACACACGCTAGGCGGGCAAAGTAATCGTTATCGATTATTTGAATTCTAACTGAATGAAATGTTGTTGTTGGCAGCTGACAGTTGCATTTCCGGCTGCAAATGGGCCAAATGCAAATGTCTTGAATGGCAGAAAGAAAGCCATTTCACACGTCTGCCACGGTCACGGCCAACTAGACGCCAAATTGTCGCTTCGTTACACGAGAGATAAAACGAAAATCGGCAGCAAACATTGCGATTAAGCAGACACGCAGATGCCCAAAAGCATAAATAATACATTTTTGTTTTTGTTTCTGTTTTTGTGACACACTTTGTAGTAACAAAGCGTGATTCAATTGCTGACACACAGAGACACGCACACAGTTTCAATCTCAATCTCAGCCAAATCTTGGCCATTGATGATAAATTCGCAGCGCTATAAAAACTATTGTCGCAGTCGCTAGTCTAGCCATTGTCTACTCAGCACTCAGCAAGCAGCACACAGCAGCAAGGATATATACGATAATGGAACGGAGCACGGTGAGTTGTTAGACGTGCAGCGTGCTGGCAGCGGATGTAACTGCTTGCCGTTTTACAGGGTATTTTGGGCATTGTCTTGACGGCGCTGTTGGCCTGCTCGCCCAGCCTGGCCGTTGTCCATGGCATACAGCCGCTGAGCGCTCAGCTCGCAGCCAGCCCTGACCATGGCAATGGCTATCGCTATAATGGACCTGCGCACAAATACTTGCCAGCTGCCAGCGAGCTAACCACTGAGGCCGTCACCACCACCGGCCATTGGCAGCCCAATCCTGTGCAGCAGCCCGCGCAGCAGCTGCCCTTCGAGCACACCTTCGGCAGCGGCAGCGACAGCAACAGCCACAGCCACAGCAACAGCATTTCGGACTACACTGGACCCTATCGCATGGAATACTATGAACGGGCACCCATCGAACAGCAGCAATTGAATATGAATAATTTTCAATATGCCGCCGATAATTCAGGTGCTGCTGCTGCTGCAGCAGCTGGTCAGTTTGGTCAAGCTGTTGGTCTATCTGCTGGCGCACAGCATGATCGCCGCATGGAGTCTGGTCAGCGAGGTGCTCAGCTAGTTGGCCAGGCGTTGCCCGAGCGCTACCAGCGACAACCTTTCGCGCAGCCCTCGCCCAGCTATCTGCAAATGCAATCGCATTCGTACGAGCTGCCGCCCAGCTATAGCATGCACAGCGAGTGGTACGAGCCGCAGACGAAGCCGCAGCAAATGTTCCAAGCTAACTACTATGGACAGCAGCAGCAGCAGCAACAGTTGCTGCCACAGCAACAGCAGCAGCAGCAGCAACAGTTGCTGCCACAGCAACACCAGCAGCAGCAGCAGCAGCAACAGTTGCTGCCACAGCAACACCAGCAACAGCAGCAGCAGCAACATTTCGACTACTCACAACAGCTGAGCTCTTTTCATGACCACGCCCACACACAAAACGCCTTTATCACGCAGCCAAGTCGCGAGTTTCAGGCGCCCTACTACTAAGTATTATCCTCTAATCCTACGCCCCACTTCCTGCTCCCCAATCCCCACTCCGCCCAGCTCATCCCACGCCTAGAAACTTGAGCGCTCTGAAAACATTTGCATTTGGCCTCAAAGCAAAAGCATTTTTGTATTTCATTAAGCGACTCTTCGCATTTTTTTTCTTAGTTAAATAAATCGCATTTTTTTTTTAATTTAAAAAATATATTTATATATATTTTTTAAATATTTTTAAGAATATTAAAACGCATTTTATGTTCATTTTACTCAAAAGGCTAAAGTTGAGCTTTACATAAATTTTATTTAGAATTCTCAAAGGGTTTTAGCCATTGCATAGGCATATATATATAGACTATATATTTTCTATATATTTCTCTATATGCGCCATCTATATGTAGATAGTAATCTATGAATTTATCACGAGTAGCTCCGCATGATGTTGTCTCTAGCTTTTGTAGACTTCAAGCTAAAAATTACAAAAATCGATTTTTATCGATAACAGCACTGGGCATATCTAGCTAGCTTTAATAGATGGGCGCGCTTCGACAGGCGCTCAGACGTGCAGACGGCCATGGCCAGAGTGAATCAGGCTCAGCAACAATATATACTATGCACTATATACAATATATACTTTATAGGCTCGCTGCAGCCGTCTTCTGGGCTGTTGCATACGTGAGCAAAAAGACAGCATACCCTTTGCAATATGTACAGGGTATAAGAAGGCCTCTCAAGTAGCTTTAGAATTGATAAGCGAGTCAATCCAATCCAATTGAATCCAATCAGCATTCAATGCAAGATTTCCAAGCCCAAATTTCATTTGGAATTCCCAAAGGGTTTTGGTCAGCAGCCAGTGAAGAGCTCTGCGCTGCTCTGGACTGCGTGAATTATGTGGAAAACTCTTTTGTTTTGTCATTTCGAGCAAATCTTGGGCTGCGACCTCGAGCAGAGTATTAAGTAGCGTCGTAAATAATCGCAGCTAATTTGATTATGCTCGTTGTTTACGGCAACATTTTCTCAGAGCATTTTCGCTCCAACAGCCGTGTTTCCGCATCAAACTCCAAATTCTGGCCACTAATTGCGGGCGCTGTGTAATTTGTGAACTTGAAACTTGGCTTAAGTTGAATTAAAATCTATTAAATTTAAATTTATTCTGCTAAATAAGCTGAAAAACGCACGCGCTGAACGCGTTTTCGTTGTCTTTTTTTTTTAATTTTACTTCTGTAAATTAATCTTTTTTTCTTGCTTCCGTTATGCAAATTATTTCCAATTGTTGCACGTGCTTTGTAAGACGTACAGAGGGCAAACGGAGAGAGAGAGAGCGAGCGAGAGAGGAAGGGAGAGTGTGAATGGGCGCAGAGTGAGAGAGAGCAAAAGTGAAGGTAAAGCAAACAAAATCAAAGACTTAACACCCACAGCCGCAGCCGCAGTCGCAGTCGCAGTCGCAGTCGCCGTCGCCATCAGCCAGTAGCGGATCAAACACATGACAGATTTTTGGGCCCGATAGAACAGCGGCTTTTATTTGATTTACGGCTAAGCGATTAAGCTTAAGTGAGCAACTAGAATTGAGTATATATAGAGTCTAAGACAATACGCTGCAACTAAATAAAATTTAAAAAAAAAATAAAAAAAAACTAGACTTGAGTCTCTTTACGTGCTCTAAGCGAGTATTGCATAGACATAGAGACATAGCCTATACGCTCTATTTGTACCTTCCGTTTTAGCATTACTCCAGATTTCCATTTCCATACGATGTTCCATGTAATGTGCTACTATTTGACTAAATCCCTATGCAGTGGGGCCAATCGAGTAGGCTAAATGTGAACTTCAATTACCAGAAAGTTCCCAGATGACTGATATCATTCCATGCATTATATGCATACAGTTTGGCAGTCATTGGCATAGGGACCCCAGCCAGCTGTCAAGCTAGAAATGTGATTAAAAGCATAAGCCTAAAACTTTCGAATTGAAATTTAGTCACATATATTGCATATTAAATTAAATATACAAACAGTTTGAAAGTCACTTGTAGCTTATGAGTCAACAAGGCAGAGCAGTACTACGCTCTCAACTCGACTTAAGCGCCCCATTAAAGGCGCCCAATTGCGCTCCTGGGCCGCAGCGAATGCAGCAACTTTCATTCGAGCAGCTGCAAGTGCAGCGGCAGCAGCAAGCAGCCAGGAAGCCAGACTGATCCAATCAAATGTTTTATAGATCGTTTATGTTCAATCTAATGAAAATGTGGTTCAATGGGAGAAAGTCCATCAGAGAGTTTTGTTCAATATCTATATAGAGATTATGTAAGATCAAAACATCAGCAGTCAAGTGCTTGATTCGAAGCGATTTGCACACAGCTCCATTAGTTGGCAGGCGAGTGTGCACGACTAGCAGATGCCCTTTAAGTCAATCGCTTCTCAGCAGCATCGATAGTTATCGATTGTTCATTTTGCTTCACTCTAAGTTCAGTAGACCCCCAGTTACTAGATCGTAGCTCTCTTTGGTAGTCTGCTGCAAAGACAGCTTACAACGAACATATACCCTGTTTGCCTTTTATAGGGTATACTGCTGGCGGGCGCACCCACCCTCAGCCTATGCGCCCATTTACCTAACTCCCAACTCCAATTCGAAATCCAATTCCAATTCCATGAATTGTTGAGCAAAAACGATCGTTATGATGAATCATTATCATTATCATTATTATTATCATTATTATTATTATTATCATTATCATTGGCTTAAGTAATTGTTTGTGTTTTGGGTCTTGCAACACGATTTGCGCAAGCGTCGAAAATAGTTTTCGAGTTAGCTTCAATTAGCTTATAACGAACAGATGAAAGGGAGAGAGAGAGAGAGAGAGAGACGGAGTGGCAGAAAGAGAGAGAGAGAGAGGCGTAAAGAAATATTACAATAAAAATTAGAGAAAAAGAGAGCACAAAGGTGAGGGAAAGAGGTAAGGAGAAAGAGAGAGAGAAAGAGGCAGAATAAGACAGAGGGAGAGAGAGAGAGAAAGAGAGAGAGAGAAAGACATAGAGAAATATTAGAGAAGAAGAATGAGAGAACACAGGTGAGAGATAGCTAGGTAGGGAAAGAGGTAAAAAGAGAGAGAGAGAAAGAGACAGAGAGAGGGAGGAAAGAAAGGAGAGAGAAAGAAAAAGAGAAAAGCTGAGGGAAATATTAGAGAAGAAGAATAAGAGAACAAAGGTGAGAGAAAGCTAAAGAGAGGTTAAGAAAGAGGGAGAGAGAGAAAGAGACAGAAAAAGACAGAGAGAGGGAGGTAAGGAAGAGGATGTACAGAGAAACGCAATGAAAAACAGAGAGAAAGAGTGAATTTGCAGAGAGTGGGAGAGACTGAGAAATAATAGAGCAAGAAACTGAGAGAGAGAAAGAAAGAAAGAGACAGAGAGGGAGAGAGACAGAGAGAGAGAGACTGGGAGACAGAGAGAGCGAGCGTCACAGACAGAAGGAGAGGGAGAGAGAGAGCGAGAGAGAGAGAGCGTCACAGAGAGAGAGAGAGATAGAGTGACAGAGAGAGAGAGAGAGAGAGAGCCCTATACCAGAATCGAGCTAGCTTGCTTTCAATCCATTTAGGCTTCCCAATGTTTGCCACATATCCCTTCCATCCATAAAAATCTATTTTAGAACTTGTTTTTTAGCATAACTCGAAGACTACAAAAAAAAAATAAATAAAAAATATTTACTTTTTCTTGTATCCGTCTCCATATTACGCAAATCCGTTCTTAGCCCAACTCTGAGCCTGACTTTCGTCGCTTTTAGCTGTTGCCGATGATGCAATGAGGAAGTGCATTGAACGACCTGTCGTTGAGCTCAGCCTTGCCCTCAGCGCTCCATCCATATCCAACTATATACATGTCCATATCCGTATCCATATCTATTTCCATTGCCATTTTCATTTCCATTTCCATTTCCATTTCCATTTTGCACTTCCCATATCGCTTACAACGGAACCACCTGGATCGCATTACAAGCGCTGCATAGGCTATTTAAGTGGGCTCGAGTATATGCCTGGCTGCAGACACGGCTCGCGCACAATGGACACAATGCGTGCCCTCAGCTGGGCATCGGGCTTGGCTCTGCTCCTGTGGCTAGTCGAGGCGCAATCGCCGCCCTTTTACTATCACAGCTGGCTCTATGCAACGCCTTGGCGACCTTTGGTGCCGGCCATCGGACAGCAGTTGGACACCCAACAGCTGAGCCTGGGCTATACGGGTCCGCAAACGTTTCCGCTTGACGCTGGGCAGGCACAGACGCCGACGACGACAACTGCTAGAAGGCCGGTTGTGCTGGGACTGCGGCTCAGGCCGGCGAGGCAGCAGTTTACGGTGCCCTTCAGACCCTCGCCCTTTGCGGGCTACACCGACGAAGAGGAGCAGCTGGAGCAAGTGGAGCAGCGCCAGCAGCAGCTGGAGCAGCTGCATCAGCAAGCGGAGCCACCTTTCTATGCTCCCGGCTATCCCCAACCAGCAGCCGCTGTCGTTGCCTCCCCGCTCATCGGCGAGGATCAGGCGGAGCAGAAGCCCCCACATTATCTATACATGTCGCCGTCCAATCAGTATAATCTAGTTAGAAGTTAAGCTGCGATTGCTGTGTGTATTCCCTACTTTCCATATAAACAAAGAAACTTTTATCTATCCACTCGCTCTTTGCTTTCGCTTGGTGAAATTAGCTCTCGTCTGACCTTGGCAACGACTCGCTGAGCATTGCGCAATCGATTTTAGGTTTACGAGGTCGTCAATTTGAGCACTGAAGACTAAAGACTTGGCAATGGAAGAGACGCCCCAAGTGGCCCGGCAATTGCCCCAACTAACAGCCGCAAGGGCCCAGCACAAGCGGAGCAAAAGTAATTGACGTAATTGCTCGGCTAGGCACAGACACATCGATGCGTTAACTAAGCGAAGAGATCTCCCAAATAGCGGGTGCTATAACTTACTAATTGCTGCTGTTACACCTGTATGCAGAGATATATCTCTAACATATATATTACTAGCTCAACTATATGTATACAGTCTAGCGAACTAGGCAACTATCGGGCAGCTATTGCAGCTAGCAGCGAGAGATCTTACCTAGCTATGGACCCATGCAGCTCACTCTTACTGCAGACAAGATATACTGTTACCCAACTAAGGCTAGCCATAGATCAGACATGTTCAAGCTTCCTTAACTATCAATCTTATAGAAGAGCCAGCCTTGATCAGGCTTTCTTAACTCTCAACTTAAGATAGAAGTCATTAGCTTACGCCTTATAGAGCTATAGGCAGTAGCAACCACAGTATAACTCGTCTTTTCTCGTGCCTAACACACCTAGCAATAGACCAGAGAATATTATATTAACAAACTACAAATGTTTAGATTCTACTATAAAAAACTTAAACTACAGACGTACTTATATAGCTAGAGACTCTCTAGCCTAACTTTGTAATCCATCAAGGCTTACTTATCACTCATTTAAGTAAGCAAATTGTGCTTAGTTCAGATAGTTAAGAGTGTAGCTAGTGTCACATCGAGTAATATATCCAGTGCAATGCCACCTGGTATCAAATTGGCAGACATTATCTAAGCATATACAAAGGCGAATCTATCTATTCAGAGTGTTATCTTGAACTGATGTTACTTAGCTCAAGAAGCCGTCTAGTACCTGCTTAATCTCAAGTCTAATTTTTTTATTTATCCACAAATCTCATGTTCGGAAACATCGGGCAGCTCCAACACTCCACTAGTCCACTATATGTATTACCTAATTTAAGAGGAGACGATCCAGCCGATCCTAATTTACTACACTCGATAATGAGCTCATTTAGTGCCATTAATAAGCTCAGTCAAGACCTTTCGATTAGGCTTCGATTGGGAAAGAGACTTTAAAAAGTCAATCAAGGTGTACGACTCGTAGAGTTAATTAGGTCTATTAAAAACAAATGGAAGATCATAAATGATTGACTGAATGATCGATAAATTGATTGACTTGATAGATGCATCACATATAAGGCACAGCCAGGGGATAACCCTAAGTAAAAGTTAACGGTTAACGGTTAACGCTAGTGACAAGTGAATTACGAGACCTTGGCGAAAATATTGTTACGACATTGCCGCAAAGAGCTTAATTAAAAGGGAAAGATTACGAGAACAGCCAACCCGAACTAAATTGCAGTTTGTAGAAAACAAAAAATACAAATTTCAAAAATGAAAGACAAACACAATCTGTTACAAATTTGCAACAGCTGACAAAATAGCAACAACAACAAACGAAAACATTCATCAGCAATGGCAATTGCAGCAACAACAATGAGCATATGCACTAGTAAAGCGGTTAAATTACCGTTAACGCTGCCAGCGCCAAGAATAGGTTGGCGCAGGGGGGAGAGGACTGTTGTGGGTCGGGGTACGCCCTGTCATCCGCACTCACATTCATCAAAATGTTACTTGGAATTAATTGCAATTCACGCATAAGCCAAAAGACTGGGAAAGCTGGCTAAATCCAAAAACCCAAAAGAAAAGAAAGACACGCACCAGCTTAAAGAGAGGGTGTCTGTGAAGGCAAGAAAGAGAGAGAGAGAGGGAGAGAGAGGCGGTGGGCCGCACTGTGCACTGAGACATGCGATATGGCAAATGTGTCACTTGAACTTGAGGCGAACGAACGGGAGGCAATGCAACAGTCACAATGCACCGTGGTACGTGACTGTGGAAAAAGTAAATAAAATTATGTCAGTCGTCAAGTGAGCACAAAAATCGTAAAAAAAAGACAAGTATACTGGAATAAGCCCAATGTATGTTTAATACGTAAAAATTAATACATAATCAATTAACTTCCTTTACAAAAATGCAAAACACACTATATCTAATTAGAAATTTGTAATCTTCTAAATTTGAGTGAACAAATAACTCATATTTAGCTAAATTACCGCCAAAAAACATTAACATACTCAATTAATGATGTCCCACTGTGCCAAGGCAACGGTCCAGACTCATGTCCGCAAAGCGTGCGCCATACCAACCCAAACAAGAGTGAGAGTGCGAGTGCGAGTAAGAAGAGACGGTTAGCGGTAAACCAAAGCGAAGCAAAGCCAAAATCGCTTTAGTTCATATGCAAAATGGGCAGCAACAAAAACGCCGCGTCGAGTTGGCGCTTTTCGCATCGCCGCCGACGCCGCTGCGTCAAGTTAACTGCGACGCCGACGTAGACGTGCGCAATGACAAGCGATTTGTTGCAGAGGCCGCGTATAAAAGGGTTGGCCGGCGCAGAGGTCGTCAACATTCGACGCGCAGCGGTTGTGGAATAAACCCGAGTTAGATCGAGAAAAAGAAAGACCGAGAGAAAGAGAGAGAGCAAGTGAACGAAAGGATAACAGATATAAATAGATCAATAGTATTTGCTGAGCTTTTTTTGTTGGTATTTTTTGACGTGCACCCCGAAAATGCAGCTCGCTGTAAGTGTTGTGAAATGACAAATAAAATTTAAATAATGCACTAACGCGTTTAATCCTTTACTTGTATTTGCAAATTTATACCAAATATCACGACTGTTGTTGCGCACTGGTCTTAAATTTATAAATGCATTGCCGAATTTCAATTCAAATTAAAAACGAAAATTTTCAATTTTTAATGCAGTTTTCGCGCGCGCTTCTCATTTGCGCCTTATGCGCCTTTGCCGCCGCCAAGCAGCCACAGCAGCAGCAGCAGCAGCAGCAGCAGCAAAAAGATGTGCAGTCCGCCAAGCTAAAGCGTGATGCTGGCTTGAGCTTTGGCAGCGGCCTCTATCATGGACCCTCACACAAATACTTGCCGCCCGCTGCCAGCTCTGGCGGCTATGAGAGCACCTACGCCCAGTTGCACGGCAATGGCTTGGCCGCTAGCAGCGGCTTTGACTTTGCCAGCCTTGACACGGACAGCAGCCATCATGGCCAGCTTCATCATCAAGCGCAGCATCATCATCCCTATCATAATCATCACCATCATCATTATAGTCATCAGCCACACACATATCAATCGCTAGGCTCTTACCATGGTCACGGGCGTCCTGTGTACATTAGCTCCTCGAGCCTTGCTGGCGGAGCTGCTGCTGGTGCTGGCCATGGCTATCATCCGCGTCCGCCCAAGGTGGAAACGTACATTGTACAGACCAGCAATGGCGGCGGTGGTGGTGGCGGCAGCAGCGGTGGTCATGGATTTGCTCAACAGGGTCATGGTGGTTACAAGTACTCTGGACATGGCGGCGCTTCGAGCTACTTGAACCTGCTGGGCGGTGGTTCGCACAAGCAGCATGGCAGCAGCAGCACCTATCTGCTGGCCACGCCCGGTTATAGCAGCAGCAGTGGCAGCTTAGGAAGCAGCAGCCTCGGCAGCATTGGCAGCGGTAGTCTAGGCAGCGTCGGCAGCAGCAGCGGATCCTCCCATGGCATTAGCTTTGGTCATGGTCATCCGGCTAGCCTGGGTGGCAGCAGTCACGGCTTGGGCTTTGCGCCCGCTCCAGAACATGAACAGCATTTGGGCTACAGCTACGAGGCGCCCAGTCTGCAGCAATTTGCCAAGCAGCCGCTGAACAGCTACGGCGTGCCGCTGCTGCCTGGCTATGAGCACGGCCAGCAGGAGGAGGAGCATCAGCAGCAGCATGAACTGCATCACGAAGAGCAGCAGCTGCCGGCCGAGAAGAGTCATACGGAACAGCAGACACCGGCCTATGCGCTCGGCCACAAGGGCTTGGGTCACTTTAGCTATACGTCCAGCAAGCCGCTGGCCCTCAACACGGACATCCATCAGCACGAGGATCAAAATGAGCTGGTCGCTGAGCTGGCGAAGGCGCCGTTCAAGCCGAGCGCCTTCCTCGGCGCCAAGCACGAGGCGAGCCTTGGCTATTCAGACTTTGCCACGCCCACCACACAGTATTTGCAGCCGCCCACGGCAGCGGGCTATGAGTATGCGGCTCCAGGTCCGGCGGTGCTCTATGGTGCGCCCGGGCAATCGGGCGACTCGGCCACGCCCATATTCGAGCCAGAATCCACATATCTGCCGCCCACACACAACTATCACTAAATTATTCACATTACTTATAATACCTATATATATATATATATAAATATATATATATATGTATATATATCTATTTTTTTTTTCATATATTATATTTTATATTCATGTAGATTTTGTTTAAGTTTATGCCAAATGGAGCGCTCGTCCAATAAAAGCAAATTGAAACATAGCCACGCCCCCCTCTTACTTTTCTGACTTTCGATCGATCTCTTTAGCATGCGCAGCTCATCAAAATTGGATATATATATATATATATATATATATATATATATATATATATATATATATATATATATATGCATATATGATTTGGGTTTTCTCAATTCGTTTCGCTTTTTGTTTTGAAAGCGTGTGAAGCCGTTGGAATTGTATGTGGAGCAAGTGCGAGAAATTATTGAAACGCTAACGGAATGGCCAATTAGACGCGTTAACTGAACGAGTTACATCCGAATGGCATCCGCAACGCATACTTTAAAAGCTTTCAATTGAAAGTGCAAATGGAACAAATGTGGAACGACTTTAATCAAGCTTTAAAAATCAAATTGGCAAATAACTCAACGTCTTGATCGTCATAAGCTTGGCGCTTATTCTATATTCAAATAAATTCATGCCATTTGAAGTCAAGCTCATTTCACTCGATTTGAATATAAGACTCGAATCGACGACTAAATAAGCTATAAATATATATCTTAAGTGAATGTATTCATTTCATTTAAAGTACTCAAAGCATTCGAAGCACTCTCAAATATATTTGAGAAGTACTTGATGCTCCTCTAATAGTTATAAATAGACTTGAGTTTCCCAATACTAATTCCATTTGAATATCTTAAAAGAAATTAAGTTTGCTTAAATGAATACATTATATTCATTTCAAGTACTTGCAAGTAGATTTCAATATTCAAATCATCATTTCGAATCACTTTCAATCTAAAAAATATATATCTACGATTAGCTTTAGCTAGAACTGAAAGCTAAACGTATCATCGATATTTATCGATTTTATTGTTAGGCTCAACGCTAGATTTTTGTGCTTAATATATTTTTATTAAACAACATGATCATCTTTTTATAGACTTGATGGTCCTATTAATCGATATTAATCGATTTAATGTGCATAATATATTATTTATCGCATATGTCGTAGTTTACAATATCCACTTACTGATCTTGATCGATATATATTAAGTTTTTGTTAGGCCTAAATTAATTGTTGCCCTTTTCAGCTCTTCTATCGATTTTTATCGATTTTGTGGTTTTCATTAATATTCAATATTATTTTGAACATTTATATATTTCGAAATATAAATTTTTTATTGATTAATTTTGATAAAAAATTATATTTTATATTTGCATAATATTTCAAATATATTTTATGATTCGCTTTTTCCTTTAGGCAATTTTTGTGAATATGTTTATGTCGGAAAGACATCGGCATAATCTGGCCAACGATCTGATGAGTGATGCGCTTTAAGAGGCAATAAAATGATGTCACTTCGCGGTGGGGATTATAAATCATAATTATCTGTGTTGTCGGCTTCTGTTGCCTTTTCCTCTTCTTCTTTATCTGGCACTTATGCAATGCGAGAGAGCGAAACCATTCGCAAAAGCTGATCCTGGCCGAAGCGCTGACCCACATCAGCCGTGGAAAGTGAAAGGATGGACAGTTGAATGCTGAATGCGTTTTTGGCATTTGACCAACAGCCACAACAAACAACAACAACAACAACAAAATGAACAGAGAAAGAAGCAAATAAAAGGAGGGGAAACACGAAAGACTTAGGCAACGAACTTGCCAGCGCCATTTCGCATTTAATTTTCATGACGCGCTGTACTTGTGCTCCGGCTTTTGGATTGATTTGGTCTGGTCAGGTGAATCGCTGGGCCAACCGTGCGAAAGTTGGCAACAGGTGCGGCAGCGGCAGCAACTGCAGGCGGCTCAATGGCCAGTGTTGCAAAGCGTATTCGAGAAGAAACCCCTTCAAATAAGATTTTCTCTTTCTCATGTATCAATAAATCAAAGTTTTCATTTTCGCTTGTTGCACGTATATCAAAAATCAGTGTTGAAAAATTCTTGAAAAACTCTTTCAATTCGAAATTCCTAATCAAATTAAAACTTTGGCTAAGTTTTGGAAGGAAAAAGCTATTTTGAAATTGCTTCAACTAAGTTCTCAACTAGTTTTAAGACTTCAGTGTTGGTAAACACACGGGAAACTATCAAATTGAAGAACCTTTTCATAGATTTGTATTTTATGAAACATGTCTTCTTCTTCCGCTTCTTTGACATATACTTTAAGAGCTTAAATCTATTTTAAATCTATTTTAAGCCCCCTACAGTCTGAAGTTCAGCTAAACAGTGCTGTAAAATGTCACAAAAATTCTACAACATTACAAATTATTCTATTGAACTTATGCTAGATTTAATTTTGCCAAAATATACGATTTATAATTCATTAACAATTTATCAGTGTTGTAAAATGCCTAACAAATCAAGTATTATTAGTGTTAACAATGGGTTTTTCCATCAAAATGCCAAGTTCCACTTGGCTAGAAACTATATCACTTATAAATAGTTTCAGTTCCAGTTTCAGGGTCAGCTCAGCACTCGACTCTGACCTTGTGCAGTATTTTTTGTTTTATTCTTCGTCTTTGCTTAATACGCCCACGCACCATGCGAGAATCTTACGCTGCGTTAAAAACGTGACAATGCGCAGTTAAATATATTTATTTAAATTTTTTTTGTTTAATTAAATAACAATTTACGTCAAGACGTGTGACTAATTTGCAAGCGAAAAACTGAAATGAAATTAAATGAAATCAGGTGAGAGTGCTCTAGTAGGAATTGCTCGACTAGAACATGCCCTAAACTCTGCTATTATATATATATATTTTTTTAATATTCATACATAAATATTATATATATAATCTATAACCAAATAGTAAGCTACATACTTAATTAGGTGATTATAGCTTCCATAATTACTGAGTTCAATCAGGCTGGTAGAATTGATCATGTTTTATTAGGTTCTATATACTTTATATTTCATTTACCAGCAAAGTAGAAGGCACAGTGAAAATTTGCCGCCTCTAGCTCCTATAGTTCCTGAGTTCACTTGGGTTGGCAGTCGTTAGGACAGTTTCACTTAGCTTGAAATACTTTTAATACAAAGTATTATCAAAGAAGAAGTGACATACCAAAATGCACACCTCTAGCTCCTATAGTTCCTGAGTTCACTTGGGTTGGCAGTCGTTAGGATAGTTGAAACTAGTGAGAAATACATTTAATATAAAGTATTATTATAGAAGTCTCATACCAAAGCTCACAGCTCGAGCTCTCCTAGCTGCTCAGCTTGCCTAGTTATACCGGTTTATATTTTCGCATAGTTACGGGGTATTCAGAAACGATATATGTAGCTCGTCCGGTTTCGATTTCGATTTCGTCAGCAATCGCTTACTTCATTTCATCAACGAGGCTGAAAGTCTTTTAATCTTTCTTCAAAAGAAAAAGTCAACTAAAAATACTTTTTTTGTATGTCAACAAGTTCATTGAGGCACGGCGCAGCACCTGCCACGCCTGCCTCACCATTCGCCCTTTTCTTTTTGTCTCTCTCTCTTTCTCTCTGTGTGTGTTTCTTAACAATAAATTAGTTAAGACCCATAAAATAGATATATAATCGGATACAATGGGCACAATATAATAAAAGATATAATTTATAGGGTATATGCGTTGATAACAAATCTCTATTAGCCTGCATAGTCTTTTGTTGTTGTAGCTTTTGGCACCTGCGACCCGTGGCATGCACCTGTCACGCACATTTACAAAGAGGTGTTAAGTAATTATGCCCTATATGCATTGTGTAAGGGCATATTGGTTTCGTGTAAGCGTATGTAACGGACTTCACTACTTATTCTCTGAATAATAATATCTTCAGTTGAATCGATAACTCGTTATCGATAAATACAGTTTTAAGAAATCTGTTATACATTAATAAACAGGTAATTGCAGTCTTGCATAACCAATATCACATTTCATGCTCAAAGGGTATGTGCTAGTCGTGCATGCCCAGCCAGAGCACACACTAATTTGACTACCAGCGGTTAAGGCTGCGGTTTTTTTATTAGCTGTTAAGGCGCTTGTAAGTAGTTATGAGTTCTACCATTTGCATACCCTGTAAATATTAGGTGACTAGCAGAGGTGGCATGAACGCTCTAAGCTGGGTAACCTGCTTCCATTTGCCTTTCTTTACAGAAGTGTAACAACCTAGCATAAATAAGTTGCTAAAATAAAATTGACATGGCTTGTGAATACCCTGTAATATTTGGAAGTCAATGCTTAAGCAGATAAATATTAATTGATACATGTTTCGGCGTTGCCAGATGGTCAAAACAATAAGTATGACTACATGTTAGAATTGCTGCCAAATTGGACAGACAAAACCAATTTTGATACAGGGTATATACTACTCGTGTTCATTTTAACATGCTCAGCGGGCAAAGAAAGGCCAGAAAGGAACAGAGACAAGAGCGGTTGGAGGAGAAGAAAGAGAGGGAGACCAATAACATTTCATTTTTTACATCTATTATTTATTTGTTGTTAATGAGGAGGCTTTACATTCACTTTTTTCTTGTATTAAACTGTCTCTGCGATATGGGGTATGCTCATTTCAACGCCGTCTTTGAGTACTAGGAAAGTAAGATAACAATTTTTAAGGGGTATGTAATGATTGAAGTTGATTAATAACTTTTAAAGGTCATTTGCTAGTCTCATATAATTGCTCATTATCTCTAACTCTCTCTCTCTCTTTCTTTCTCACTTTCGTGTGCCACGGGTGGTTCAGACCCCTACTTAGCCCAATTACGTAATGGCTCACATAGCTTAAAGCGTATCAAAGATAAATTTGTTTTATCTTTTGTATCGGTTATTCATAATTAGCTTTGAAAAACTGTGGGAAAAGGTAAGTGTGTGTGGGTTGGTTACATTGAATGTGCCGGACTTAAGATAAGTCAAGAAATGGTCAGGCGATAACAATAGCAAGACGAGTGACAATGAAATTCCACTATTTAATATATAACTAAATTTACATCAATTTGTGGCTTTTGTAATAAAGAGCAATTGCCTAACTTTATTTAAATCTAGCACGCATTTAAGTTTCAGTTTTGGCGGTAAATAGGCTAGATGTTATTCAACGATCTGGCAGCACAAAACTCCTTTGCGCGCTAAGTTGGCTGCGCTTTAACAACAATAAATGCATATTTCGAATATAACTGTAAAGCCAACTCACTTAAATGCAAAGCACAAAAAGAAAGCAAATAGAGAAGGAAATGACGGAAAATCAGAACAACAACAAAATGAAGTATAAACAATACTTTTCCCGCAGAGCATCATTAATCATAAGCCACTTACAGCTCAATTAATGATAAAAGACAAACAAAACTTTGGCTACGCTTTGGGGCCTCAGCTCGGACTCGACGCCATTTTTAGAACCATTTGAGCTTTATAATCGGCAAGGAAATGAACATATCACAGCTGTTTCAGTCGTATCAGGATTTGTCCGGGGAGCAGATGAATCAAATCAATGAGTATGTGGCACAAGCCCTGCTCCACGTAGTGCACAGCTACATCATGAGCGTGACGCCGTCGCTGGTTCTGACCCTCTGCTGCCGCAATAATCATACCTGCAACTTCTACAACGAGATGATGAGTGTACTTTTTCGTGACTGGGGCATAGCTCCACTCCAGATTGTCACTGTGGAGCAGGGCATGCTGCGACAATTTATTCCGGGCCGCAGGCACTACAATCTGATATTCACTGACTCCTACGCAGCCTTTTCGGAGATCGAGGTTGAAGTCCATTCCAAGGAATACAACTATAATGAGTACTATTATATCTTTTTACAAGCACGCGATCGCCTGCTGCTGAGCGAGATGCGCCGCATCTTTGAACACTGCTGGCGCCATCAGCTCATCAATTGCAACATCCAGGTGCAGCGTGCTAATGGTGATATCCTGCTTTATACGTATCTGCCATTTGGTCCAGAGAGCTGTGCAGATATGACGCCTCAGCTGATCAATCGCTACAATGGCAGCCATATGCTCAATCCCCAACTTTTTCCACCCAAGCTGCGCAACTTCTATGGGTGCCCCCTGCGAGCCGCGTTGTTGCATATACCGCCGTTCATCTAGCTAGAGGGCACGCGCATCACTGGCGGCCTGGAGGGTCGCCTCTTACAAACATTCATTGCGAGACTTAACTTGAGCATTGAAGTGCAGCAGCCGCCGCAGGGACCTGATCTGTCCTCCAACAAAATGCTGCAAATGGTAAATGTTTTCAGTCCCAACCTTCTCTTCTCATTCTTTACTCTTTCCTTTTTATAGCTTCAACGTGACCAAGCGGACTTTTGCGTGGGTGGCATTCGGCAGACGGTGGCCAACAGCTTGTCAGCTACTTCGACCCACAATTATCATCAGACAAGTGTTCGTTTTGGTGTCTTAAGCCTCAGCTATGAGCTGAGCTCCCTGGACATTTTATTCTATCCGTATCCCACAGCTATCTGGTTGGGCGTTGTCCTCGTGTTTGCCATGTCAGTTTTGGTGCTTCTTAGTATGGATCGGCTGCTGCTATTGAGGGAGCAGAGCTCCATCTTGCTCAACCTGGAGCTGATCTTTGTGGGCATGCCTATGTTGCAGCTGTCGAGCTCCCTTGCCAAGAGTGTGTACTGCATCATGCTGATGTTCTACACATTACTCATACGCACTGTCTACCAGGGCATGCTCTACCACTTGATACGCACGCATCAGCTGAACAGGCTGCCCCAGTCTATCGAGGAGCTGGTGGCTCACAACTATGAAGTGGTCCTCTCGGCTAGCATACACGATGTTCTCACCGAAATACCAGCTGTGCAACAAATGCGTTACCACCTAATCGATGGTGATAGCGACCTGATGCTACCCTTGCATTATCTAGCAGAGCGTCCACGGAATAAAAGGCAGGTGACAGCCACTGTGCAAGACATCTTTCTCATGTACAATCGGTTGAGTGCCTACAATGCGGAAGCCAAATCCCAACAGCACGAGGCAAATCATTTCGAGATCATTGCGCAAGATGTAGTCGACCTGCAGCTGACGATGTACCTAAGGAAGCATTCCTTTCTGATCGATGCTTTCAACGAGGAAATCATGTGGATGCGTTCCGTGGGACTGCTGGCCATATGGGCGCGCTGGGAGCTGGACGAGAGCCATATGCGAGCAACGCACTTGAGCTCTCGAGTATTTGGCATACAGGAGCTCTATGTGATGTTCATCTTGATTCTGATTGGCTTGTTGCTCAGCACGCTTATCTTTTGCCTGGAGCTGCTCTCCCTGCGCTCTGTGCGACTTCAGCGCTGGTTTCTAACGAAATAAAAACTTTCAAATGACTAAATATTTATAAAGTAGTTAAATTACAACTAAAATTGTAAAAATATGTATTTTAAATGGTTTCTGTTGCAATAAAATCAAATTCAATTGGTGGCAAATACCAAAAACCTGCGAAACACCGAAAACAACTGGTCACCCTATTTATGGAATTGGCTCTTTAACAGAAATTAGTTCATTTTCGCAGTACTTAATTTTAATTTCGCTTGGTTTGCTATATCATAACGGCAGCTCAACAAATGATTCAGCTGAACTGGTTCATTACGTCGGATGCAGGGTTTGTGTAGAACTTTTCGATTATAAACATATTTAATTGACAAATTCGAATTTTTTTAGAGACTATAGTAGAATTGTCGCGCGTCCAGATAGAGAGCAATGCCCATCCAGATCAGCGTATTCCAGACCGCCTCAAGCAGCAGCAGGAAATGCGTATTCATGGGCCCGATTCGCCAATGCCAGGGCAACATTTTGTGCATCACCGTGTGGCCGACATACATAATGATGGCATTCATGCCGCACTCAGTAAACGGATAGCCAGACCACAGCTGGCGCACATCCACCACGTAGTAGAGCACCGAGAGCAGCACCAGCGCCAAGGCCACAGTCACGAACACAAACGATAGCGACCAAAGATTCTTGTTGACTGGTATGACGCCCTGCTCCTTGGAGAAGCCACTGAGAACTCCGCCCAGTAGACCCAAGAGCGTGGCGCCCAGCAGCCAGCGCTTCAGTCGTGCCTGCCATGTGACATGCACCAGCAGCGTGACGCCAGCAAACGCGCCCAACATAGCCTGCACTATGCTTAAAAGGCAGCCTGCAAGAAAGAGAGGGGAGAGCATATATATGAGTAGAGCAATTAGAGAGAGAGAGAGAGAGAGCGAGAGAGAGACAGAGTGGAGTGGAAGGAATGTAACTGTACTGTGTATACGAGACAACGAGTTAGGGAGAGGAAGAGAGACAGAAAGGGAAAGAGATGGAAAAATAGATGGAATAAAGTACAGAGAAAGGAAAGAAAAATGTAGAATAAGAAGAGCGAGACAGACTTATTACAACAGTCAAAGAGAGACAGCGGTATATGGTATATATATAAAATTTTTAGAGTCCAGTAGCTCTTACCAAAAACTCCCTCCGGATCGAAGGCGGAAGAATCGTAGACATATTTAGCCGTGGGATGCTGATAGATGTGAGCGTTGCCCAAGATCAGGCGATCCACATAGCCGGCAGCGCCACCAATGCAATTGGGATCGGCTGCATTGTTGTGCTTGCCGCCTGGGCCCAAATAGCCGCGCGGACAACCCGGCACACGCAAGCCAAATGTCAAGCCCAAGTAGCCGGCTATCAGGGCCAGAAGCACGGCCAACTCTCCACTGAACAGACAGATGTCGTAGATGGCACGCTGCCAGGCGCGCTGCGGACTCAGCTGATCCCGCCGGCTGCAGAGCGTGTGCAGCACACCGGCCACTAGATAGGCGATGCCGAAGCGCTGCAGTACGCCCATCAGACGCAGTTGCTCCAGCTGGGGGCCGTTCGTTGAATTGAGACAGAGCCCGATGGCGAACAGTTTGCAGGCGCGCCAAACGATGCGCAAACAGATTCTTGGCTTGCCAATGCCACGGCCCAGTTGCGACTGAATCGAAAGGGGTATGCACACGCCCATGATCCACAGAAAGCTGGGAAAGACTATATCGGCCAGATGAAGTCCATTCCAAGGAGCATGCTCAATCCAGCTGTAGCCGCCGCCGCCGCTATTCACGAATATCATTAGCACAATGGATAGTCTGAAAAGGATGTGAGATATACTCGATTCTATTTTACAGGGTGTCTCGTGTGCCTACCCGCGAAAGGTGTCCAGACTGCGTAGTCGCTTCCGCTGCGTGGCCTTGGCCGCGGCATCGCCAATGCTGTCCGCCACGGCAGCTGCCTCATCGTAGCGATAACGTTTCCAGACGTAGCTCACAAGATTCAAAAGGATTAGTAGTAAGGAGACCAGCACAAAGACAGATAGGAAAGCTGTGAGAGGAGCGTAGAGTAGCGTTGAGATTGAGCCAGTAAAACACCAACAATTTGCGCGATAAATATTATACATACATAGATGTTAGCGATTAGATTGGTAATCGTAGCGAATTGATGAACTTACCGTAATTAATGGGAACGCCGGGTTTGTCAACGCTAAAGCTGCAGCTGCCATTGGCCAGAACTGTGAGGTTATATACACCAAATTCTTGCAGATCGCTGCGTCGCAGTGCACACAAAGCCGAGCTGCAAGGGGAGGACACAGAGAGAGAGACGCATGACAGAGAAATCAAGCGAATAAGCTTTAAGTACACACAGTCATAAACACACACACACACAACGTTTAGGCATAAGAATGGCGTGTAAACAGATGTCATGATGATATTATTGCAATTGGAGCCATAAAAGATTAGCATAAGCAGAAAACATATGAGGGGCATAGTGATGGGCTCGTGTTGAACATGAGACAAAGAGAAATCACGAAATATACAAATTATGTTTACACTTTTCTCATTATTACATGATAAGATGAATAAACAAGAGGTTTGTTTATCAAAAACATAACAATTTGCATAACACAAAATTTGTTTATGGAATTTTTAAAAGCTTGTTATTCGTGCTTGATCGGTGCAACAAAAACGATGAACGTCAAACGCGACCACCTTTAGAACGTTGTAAAACAGACGTATCCACACACATACACACAAGCGCATCAATTGCAACACATACACATTCTCGTAGGCATAGTGACCCTGATCGTGTGCATAAATTTTAAAACTCAACGGGTAAGCGGTGCTGAGCTTTAACGGTTCCACCGACCCAGCTGTGGGCAGAGCTTTCACTTTGGCAAATGGACACTGCAACAACAACAACAAAAGCTCTTTAAAAATTGAAATGTAGCGGGAAATGAATGTGTGTGTTAACATACCGTATAGCATTCATCGGACAGGGTATATAGGTAAGTCTTCTCGGCGTATTGCGTATGCAAATACATATAAGCCTGATCGGCGTGCAGGGCACGCATATCCAAATCCCGCCAATGGGGCTCCGTGTACTCCACCAGAAACCACATTCCTTGCGACTGGCTACGTTGCGATATCAAATTAAATTCAATTTATCCAATTTGGCAATTGTTTGCAGCGCAGTGCACTGTTGACGACTAACTGCGCTCCAACGGCTACAAAATTGCCATATCAACGCCTCTTTTTTTGTATACAAAATGAAATCGAAACTATTTCGAGTGCGCAATAAAAACAAAACGCAAACACAAATAAAGCGAAAATTTGTCGCATAGTCGAAGCCAAATACCCTCACCGCATGTGCACACTTGTTTTACCACATATAAAAATAATAACTGTATAGTTTATTTTTAAAGTAATTAATTCAAATTAACTATTAAATGCTAATTAGTAATAAATAAACCTATATAATTTAATTACTATTCATACAATATATACATATACATGTACATGTTACAAATAAATTGACAAAGTCGAAGTGCCTACCACACTAAGTGCATTAGCAAAACAAACTTGTTGCAGTGTTGCGCAATGGTCAAGCAGTGTTGACAACATGCTGTTATCGATAACGATAAATAGCGCGCATAACAGCTGGTTTGCGCTGATGAGTGGTCAATAAATAATTGTTGCTCTTCCTTGGCTGTGTTTGTTGTTTCCTTTGCCTGCCCCACCAAATGGCCGCTGGCGCCACATCGTTAGCGAAATCGGAGACGCGTCGCCTATGCGCCATCACCTTCTTTGCCCGGTTGCATCCGGGCGATGTGTGCGGCAGCAATGGCCTGCCCTTAACACCCAATTCGATTGCAATTTTAGGGCGTTCCCAGCGGCTAAAGGAGCTGCAACATGAGCATTTGTGTCAGTATTTGGATGTGGTGCGCGGCAAGCATGGTAACACCAGGACTCACTAACACCAAACATTTGCCTTGCTATCCATAGATTATGTATTCATGCGTTTCTTTCTTTTAGAGCGTACTATTGTCGTCTCGGAATATGTGGGCTGTACGCTGGAGGATTATGTGAAGCGACATGCACAAACACCAATCAACCACACACACATCCTGCGCATATTCCGTCAGGTGGTCAGCGGGCTCGATGTGTTGCATGCTCACAAGCTGGTCGTTCATAATCTGGAGCCGCGTCACATACTAGTGGAGGGTTGCGACGATTCTGTGCACGTCAAGCTCTTCAACTATGGCATGCATCATATGACTAAAGGCGGTGCCTATGTACCCTTTCCCATTGGCAATGTACGCTATATGGCGCCGGAGCGTCTACTTGGCGTCAATGGCAACATCAAGAGTGATGTTTGGGCCTGGGCGATGCTTTTGCTGGAGCAGCTGCTGCAAACGGAGCTGTGGCCTAAGCTGAAGCTAAGCACTATTGCCTGGAAGCTATTGGCCTTTGCGCGCAACGCGAACGTCAGCGTTGTGGAGAAAATTGCACGTGAGCATCAGCGCTTGGAGCAGTATCAGCAGCTGCCGCTAGATGTGCGAGACCTACTCGAACGTTGTCTGAGCGTGCTGCCCGCTCAGCGTCCTCTGCCCGCCGACTTGCTACAACATCAATGCCTTGCACAGCTCAGCCAGGGGCCGGTGCTGCGACCGAATGCATTGGCAGAGCCTTTGCCGCTGCTGTTGCGCTGTCCACTATCGCAGATCTACCATCTCTGGCAGCTAGCCGGCGGCGATGTGCAGGCGGAACTAAAGAAGGAGGGTCTCATACGCAGCGAGGCGCCTATTTTGGCGCTGCCCCAAATCGTGCGACTAAGCGGCGCCAGCGTGTGCCCGCCGCGCAGTCAATCTTATTTGATGGACGAGCGTGTGGTGCTGCTCAAGCTGCAGCCGCTGCTCCAACGACTCAGCCGCTTACCAGCCACCGTCTACTTTCCGCTGTTGCACATGCAGCGCCAACAGCAGCAACAACAACAACTGCAACAGCAGCAGCAAGAGCTGCCTTTACTGATAAGGGAACGTGATATAGAGTATCAATTTCGTCGCGTGCGACT